TAAATGATATCGTTTATTTGAAGATTATTCGTAAATTTAAATGAAATATACATTGCATCGGTGTTAGACTAATGTCTCGCATTTGTCTATTGCATTTGCAAAATGTCAAGGCCCTATATACCAGGCCCTATGTCAAGGTAAAATGTATGGATCAGTATGCCTTAACCCTCGCCAGCCGAGGGGGGGGGGGGCGGGTGCCGCCCCCCATAGGGTTTTTTCGCGATAGCTCCGAACACGCTGGCGATAGAGAGCTGAAACTTGGCATACGACCTTTGATTCAAGCCGGATCTTTTGACACCAGCCGCATTTTTTGTTCAGGTCAGGTCACTGACCTATGACGTCATAAGTGAGCCTCTGCACGGTCTTCAGATGTCGCAACTTCGCAACGCCCTGATTGCCAGAGGAGATGACACAGGGAAATGAAACTTGCAGGACCTAGTATCCATTATGAGTCTCACAACTTGCATATCTCAGATTTTTCCTAAAGGTTATATGAGGTCAGGTCATTTTCGTGACCTCACCATTACCAAAGGGGGGGGGGGGGTCAAAGGGGGAAAATGAAAACTGCTATTGTGGCGCCGGGAACGACCTCCAACTATCTCAAGCACACAGAATCGTGATTTGATGCACTCCTTGCAAGGTTAGATGCGCCACTTTTGCAATGTTGACCTTGCGTGACGTCATTTATGACGTCATCAAAGTCATATTAGTTTTTCGTCAATAACTATTGATCAAATTGAGCTAGCGAGTCGGGAAAGCCACCAATGGAGTCAGGAAGCCCTGCCGAATCGAATGCTATGCGACATGACCTCTTTCGACCAACTTCGTGACCTGGGGATGCTGACCTGACCTTGACCTGAGGTCAACACCCTAAGTTGACCTGACCCGAACAAGAAGTATATCATTCGAAGCGCCTGAGCAGGGCTGCGGAGTCGGAGTCGGTCGGAGTCGACAGTTGTGACCGGAGTCGGAGTCGGAGTCGGAGTCGATTTTAGAAACCCGAGCCGGAGTCGGAGTCGGAGTCACCGAAAATCTGTCGACTCCGCAGCCCTGCTAGGTCTGCGGAGTCGGAGTCGGGAGTTGGAGTCGGACGGAGTCGACAATTCTGCCCGGAGTCGGAGTCGGAGTCGGAGCTGGTTTTTGAAAGCCGGAGTCGGAGTCGGAGTCGGAGTCGCCGAAAATCCATCGACTCCGCAGCCCTGCGCCTGAGCGAGGCGAACACGATGCTGCCAAAATCGCGGCTCTGCGGCCGTTTTTGCGAAGTTATTTACCAAAAACTGAACCGTACCTTGGGGCACTTGACCTGACCTCAGAGGTCACCAGTTGACCTAGGACCTTAAAATCGGATACCATTCTCTGCGTCTCGTAACGGCGCACACGCTCGTTTTTTTCCGCGACGCGCTAGCTCCACAGGGGCGAAGCGGCGAGGGGGTCGTACCCGTTCCCCCCCCCCCCTCGGCCGGCGCGTATGTAGAAAACCAATAGGTCCGACGAGGGTTAATTGAGGGTGTTCCGCCGCCACTGCGGACAATGCATGTCAATGTGTCATGGTTAGATTGCTACTGTATGCACGTGCAGCGGCCGCCACTACATTTCTTGCACACAAATTTGGCCCGCCGTTGGTGACCGGAGAGCCGTGCTCGGTGCAGCTCAGTTGGGGGTCTCACTTTGAAAGCGCGTTCCTACCTATGTGCACACGTGGCCGCGCCTTCTACATCTCGACGACAGGGCTGGGCTGATTGCGCTGAAATACATACGCTCTTAGGGACCGATTATGTATGGATGGTTGACCCACACTAAGCAGTAACAATGGGAGCCCGGAGATCTCAAGTTCCGCTTGTGCTTTCCCCAAAAGACGTTTTGCAGATATATCATGACATTACGTATTATACGATCGAATGCTTTGCATGAAATGACTGTCAGTGTCCATGCCATGAGGCATGAGCAGAATGGGTGCGTATTATTTAGGCCAGGGTTCATAATGTCCAGGGCATGATGTGTCCAGTGCTCGAAATGGCCAGTGCCTTGAATTGGCCAGTGTTCATATTGTCCAGGGATTACATGGTCCAAATGTGGCCAACTGGCTGCAGATAGGGTAAATTCAAAGAGACCAGGGTTCATAATGTCCAGGGCGCGATGTGTCCAGTGCTCGAAATGGCCAGGGTTCATAATGTCCAGGGCACGATGTGTCCAGTGTTCGAAATGGCCAGGGTTCATAATGTCCAGGGCACGATATGTCCAGTGTTCAAAATGGCCAGTGCCTTGAATGGGCCAGAGTTCATAGTGTCCAGGGTCCAGGGATTACATAGTCCACCCAACCCAACCAAACCAAACCTAACCTATCCTATCCTAACCTAACCTAACCTAACCTAACCTAACCTAACCTAACCTAACCTAACCTAACCTAACCTAACCTAACCTAACCTAACCTAACCTAACCTAGCCTAACCTAACCTAACCTAACCTAACCTAACCTAACCTAACCTAACCTAAGAATCCCTGGACATTATGAACTCTGGCCCATTTAAGGCACTGGCCATTTCGACACTGGGCATAACGTACCCAGGACATTATGAACCCTGGCCAGAATGAATGCTCCCCGAGCAGAATTATCTCCATATAAAAAGTGCTACCGTAGAACGTGTAGGTATACCGAATTGTGCGTCACAATGCACGGCGACCCGGGCACGGCTTAACCCTCGCACGACCAGGCCATTTCTCATAACACGAACGACCAGGGGGGGGGGGTTGTTACGAACCCCCCCCCTGGCGTTTCGAAACGGAAGGTCGTAGAGCTTAGCGGAAAAAACCAACGGATTGCTCTCAACGAGATCTCGCGATTGGTGGTATATTTTTTGGTCCTAGGTCAACATTTAACCTACTTTTGACCGGTCAAAGGTCAAATTTTCGGAAAAATAGACTTTTTTCAACTTTCGGCGGCGATTGCGGCAAAACGGTGGGAGATATCGACTTGAAACCTTCACTATCGTGTTCCTTGATCAATTCTCCATCGTTTGGTATGTATTTCGTTTCCCTAGCTCTAAAAATGGCGCGTTGGGAGCGCCGGAAGTCGGCAAGGTCACAGTCGGCGGCAGAAATTCGAAAAATCAAAATTTAAATTTTTGAAATCTGATTGTATTTTTGGATTTGGGAGGTCCATTTGCTCCCTATAGAAGCTAACATTGCTGCATATTCCCATTGAGGTGACAAGAATTAGCAAAATAGTGGTTCGGGCGCTTTTCAAAAATAGTACCGGACGCTGTTCCTCTTGTGACGTCATAGCTCCGTGACCTGACCTGACCCGGTCAAATTTCTTATACCATATGATAGCCAATACTTGCCCCAACATGCATGGGAAGTTTCATCACGATCCATCAACCGATGTCCGTACCACCGGCAGGAAACCTCGGGCGTTGGCACTCAGTTTGTGAAAATCCGGCCGGAGGCTGTACCTCTTATGACGTCATAACTCCGTGACCTGACATGACCCGATCAATTTTTTTTCGGCAAAAGATGCGCAAAGGTTGCCCCAAAGGGTATTGAAAATTTCAGCCCGCTACGACAAGCCGTTTAGCGTGCACTTCGAAAAAACCTCAGGGGGGGGGTTGATACAACCCCCCCCCCCTAGGCGTTCTAGGGTTAATTAATGGGCCTCTCTGGAAACAGAGAGCGCACTAAGCCGTCTTCCATATAGGTATCTCCACATCGTCAGCGATATATCACTGATAGGGAGGATGGGAAGGCAGGTGAACAAAAACACACTCGCCATGCTGGCGGGAAGACCGCCCTCTGCAGCCATTGAACCTTCCCACCAATGTCGGCTTGTTAACCTACTTAAATCCTATACCTACGACCTTTCCGGCCGATGATCCTAATACACCACATACATGGACAATACTACACACATCCACATTTCTTGCCTGCTCAGTTACGCTCTTATCACCCTTCTGTAAAGCTTAAATCGTCAAACGCTTTGCCGTCACAAGGCGTAGCAACGAGGATACAGAGCCACTTGGGACACACAAGAGCCACGATCACGCAACAGATCCAGTGCTTGCCAAAACAGCAATCCTCTCTCCGGCACATACCTTGGAGCCCATTGTGGACGGTGGCCAGCAGTAGCAGCAGTAGGGGAGCGGGCCGTCGCAGGGCGGCCATCGTTGGGGCTTCGCTGTGCCGTCTGCGCGACTCGGCTACTGCCGGTTCTGCCGCGGGGCTTCTGCCGGCCGATGGCAGAGACATCTAGTAGCGGCGGTCAGAACTAGTCGAGGTCTTACCTCCCCGGCCGGTGGCAGAGACGGGCGAGGTGTGACTATTGTAAAGACTGGCCGGAAATATAAACTTTTGGTCGGTATTTCATGTTTCTTTCGCTTCCGTTCTAGACCGTGTGACGTGTCGCCTGATAACGATACCTCCGTTTCCGCTGTTATTCAAACTCGAGGTAGCTCGATGTCAAATGCCTGTTCCGGGACGGAACTATCGCAAAAGCTTGGTATTGTTCCAGATGTAACTGTTACAGATGTGATTCTCCCGATATGATAAGATAAAAATTTATGCATTTAGATATAGTTCGAAGCTTTTGTACCATAGCGATTAGTCAACTCCTTGTGGTGCCGACTCGTAGGTATACGACTCAGTACCTACTGCACATTTCGAGGTGCAGTTGTGCACTGCAGCACTGAGTACCTGTATTATGCCCGGCTACTTGACAGTTCCAGCCCCCTGTGGTAGCGGACGTCTGCCTGTCTTGTAAGTACTGAGCAGGTGCGGTGCCATCTGACGGTACCAGCCATGCAGCCATCTACGGTACCGAGCGACTGCCCGCGAGCGACTGCCCGTTTAGTACTGAGCGGCTGCCAGTGGCGCCACCTGTCGGTACGCTCTCTGGTACATACTGCCTAGTGCCTGCCTAGTGCCTGCCTAGTGCCTGGTATAATGTACCGACTACCGAGTAACTACCTATGGCGCCACCTGACGGTACATGCACGCTACCAGAGGTATACGGTCATGCTCATATATTTCGGACGGGTAATCGTGTTTGATTCATATATTATGACTGAAAAGAAGCTGTTCCGCATTTCAAATAAACACATCTGTGCATTAAGCACGCAGATGCCAGCCATGCTCGCGGAACTGGCAAGTTGTAACAGCTTAGTGCATCGGTAACATGTAAAGAATCAACAACCTCACAAACACACGAACACTGCACCAAGACAGCTCACACAGACTCTTCAACTGGAACAGTGATAGTAGGTAATTTCTCTCCGTGAACGTTCTTCTTTAGTCATTTGCCACTCGCTCTCGCTCTTGTACATGACACAGACGGTTCGAAACGCTCGTGAGTGGTCGGTGCCGAGTGCCAATCATTGAGCCTGCAGTAACGTATTATATGGCTATTAACTTCCGTCCTGCACACAGCTCAACACTCAACAGCAAACAAAACTTAAACGCTCGCGACACAATAGTCACATCAGTCACCACTCGCACCATTAGCCAGTTAGCCGGTGGTCACACTCCCTCAATGAAACTCAGACAGTGGTGTCTCCCCTCACTTACAGCTCCACTCTTTGACATTTATCATTCGCCGAGAGTTTGAGTATCAACAGCTGTTACCGCCGCGTCACTGCGCCGTTCAATGACGTCACACTGACGTCACAGCTATTCCACGGGCACGTCAGGGAGTCACAATCAGGATATGGTCCTGACGTTGTATATAACGTGCATTGTCCTCGCCCCGTGTCCCGCCAGCTCAACAGAGCGCGGCAGCCCGACCGACGCTGATTGTCCGAAGCTCCTGAGTTGGGCCGTTTGGCGAAAGGAGTTGGCAGAGTTATCCACTCTGCCTCTAACAGCCACTCCTCCTCACTCTGTCGCCACCTTTTTGAGCACCCAGTCGGTGAATTTTGAGATGCGCGTGCAGACTCCGGGCAGGTTGGGCTCGGCACAGCCGATACCCCAGCTGATGATTCCCGCCAGGAACCATCTGCCGTCCTTGCCACGCACCTGCAGCGGACCGCCAGAGTCGCCCTGGGGACAGACACACAGGTCAGAATAGGTCAGTTTGGATGATTGAAGAGAATAGTGACCCGACTAGCCGTTCTGAGAGCAGACGCACAGCTCAGGTCAGATTATTGTCAGTTTGGAGGGACGGTAGACGTAATTGTCGCCCGAGTCGCTCTGAGGACAGACATGCAGGTCAGATCAGGTCATGGTTTGTTGCGAGAGCATCGAGCTAGAGATTCATGGCTCACCACAACAAGCGGGCCAAACAGCCAGAGGTTTGGCGAGAGTATAGAACCCTGTAGACATCACCCGAAACGCCTGAAGATTGAAGAGAAATGTCACTTGTTCAGGGACCTAAAGAGTTTTCCAAAAAAAAACCTTTTCATTCAAATTTTTTTGTAACAATAATTTTCGAACTGACATACAGCTTTGCTACCGGTGAATGTGTGAAAGACTGGACGCCCGTTTGTTGTGATGTCACAAGACGAGCCATTTAACCCTAGAACGCCTAGGGGGGGGGGGGGTTGTATCAACCTGAGGTTTTTTCGAAGTGCACGCTAAACGGCTTGTTGTAGCGGGCTGAAATTTTCAATACCCTCTGGGGCAGCCTTTGCGCATCTTTTGCCGAAAAAAATTGATCGGGTCATGTCAGGTCACGGAGTTATGACGTCATAAGAGGTACAGCCTCCGGCCGACAGTTACCAAACGTGTGCGCCGAATCCCTAGGTTTTCTGCCAGTGATACCCACATTGTTTGATGGATCATGATGAAACTTCCCATGCATGTTGGGGCAAGCATTGGCTATCGTGTGGTGCAAGAAAATTGACCGGGTCAGGTCAGGTCACGGAGCTATGACGTCACAAGAGGAACAGCGTCCGGTACTATTTTTGAAAAGCGCCCGAACCACTATTTTGCTAATTCTTGTCACCTCAATGGGAATATGCAGCAATATTAGCTTCTATAGGGAGCAAATGGACCTCCCAAATTCAAAAATACAATCAGATTTCAAAAATTTAAATTTTGATTTTTCGAATTTCTGCCGCCGACTGTGACCTTGCCGACTTCCGGCGCTCCCAACGCGCCATTTTTAGAGCTAGGGAAACGAAATACATACCAAACGATAGAGAATTGATCAAGGAACACGATAGTGAAGGTTTCAAGTCGATATCTCCCACCGTTTTGCCGCAATCGCCGCGGAAAGTTGAAAAAGTTTGATTTTTTCGGAAAATTTGACCTTTGACCGGCCATAAGTAGGTCAAATGTTGACCTAGGACCAAAAAATATACCACCAATCGCGAGATCTCGTTGAGAGCAATCCGTTGGTTTTTTCCGCTAAGCTCTACGACCTTCCGTTTCGAAACGCCAGGGGGGGGGGTCGTAACACCCCCCCCCCCCCTGGTCGTTCGTGTTATGAGAAATGGCCTGGTCGTGCGAGGGTTAATCTTGACTGAACTCAGCCGGCACTTTCGGCCATATGTCGCCACTGGTGGTGACACGCTAACCCCGTCTGGTTGCCTCGACAGCTACCTACGGCTCGTTTAACTTTATTGCGACGATCATCACAGACGCTTCATCATCATTGAAGCGGCTCAATTACTGAGCTAAAATCAAGCCCAGCCCGCTGTGGCGTTCGTCTTTGACCACATGCCATCATGACACCAAGTCCCCCTATCCCTATCGGTCTGCTGTCGACCGTATCGGCCTGTGAGAGGGCCCACTCAATGTGCCACGTTCACTGTCACTACCGACAGCGGTACACACCCCCGAAAACGAAAGTGGCCACGCTTGCCCAAATCATAATGAGCGCCGCTGGGTCGCCGCGCGCCCGGCTCCATTGTTCACGAGGGCTGCGCGGCGAGGGAGCGCGCTTGACAAGCCATGTCTGGCGGCGGCGACGTGCTGTCGCCTCTCACCCATGGGCACGAGCGCTCCGCGCTGACATGGTGTTCCGAGCCCTCCCGCACGTCTGGGCTTCCATGAGCTTAAACATCACCGGTGAGAAATGCAACCATGACAATCTTATGATTGCCGGGTTAGATGACGACTTTTATGTGAATACTGCTTGTTTCTTGAGTAGATCTATTAGCGAGCTACATGATCTCGAGTTTTGATTTCTCGTATGCTTTATTATAGCATTCTTAATAATGCTCATCAATTGACTATTGAATTAATGTGATTTGTAATTATCTTTTAGGTTTGGTTGGTGCTTGATCAGAGAATTCAAGAACGGTGACTTTAATTGATGAATTTTCTTGGCAAACGTGACACAAGCCCGTTTCGGTGTAAATAAGTGCAGGATGCGTTGCAGTCACCATTCTGCAAAGCGTTGATAACAGGCTGGCTGACTTGCGGCTACCGAGGGCACCGTTTGCGGGCGGCTGAAGAAATCTGATTGACACCATATACCAATGTTGTTCCGCTGCACGGTGACAGGGCCGCGTGGGGTCGTGAAAGCGTGTCCCGCACCACGGTAACCGGATTGCAAGACCGGGCGCCCCGCTCGGTTTGATAGTCGGTCGGCGTGTCGGACCCAGCACAGTCGGCAGTCGACGACGGCTTTACGCGACATATGTTCCAGATAGGCCGCCACGGTGCAGGAGGGCGATAGACACTTCCCGGAGTGAGCGGAGGCAATGAGGAACTGGGTGTAAATATCATTCATCGCGCTGTTAACGCTACAAAAGCATAGACCGGCTGAATTATAAGTTGCATTGCATCAACATATTTTAGTCTTTTTTTGCAACTTGCGTTCTGCACTTCTGCAGTCTATTGCAAATAATGACGAAATTAATGAAACATCACTGCTATCACCCAGTCCATCCCGGTAGACCTCCAGAACTTCGGTTGACTTTGTTTACGAGATCAATAATACACGTTGAGGTCGCACTAAGTTATAGCCGTTTTCACGACGGCCATCTGGAACACATTTGGTGCACATCTGGTACAGATTAGGTGCAGATTTGGTCAAATCAGGTTCAGTGTGTCTCTTAGCATCTATCAGCTAGGGTTGCACTAATTGCTTATATGCCTGCTTTGTCATATTATCACAGAGCATCATCGATAAAAAAACACTGAAATAAATTCATAAAATGAAGATATTTGCTGTAAAAGAAATTAGGTGCAGATTTGGTCAAATCAGGTGCATTCGCCAGATAGCCCGTCGTGAAACGGCTAGTATCTACTGTCGCTATGATTTTCTATAAAACTGCAGCGCTGGTCGAAGACGTGAGCTCCATTGGGGTCTATCGCATGGCACGGTCCCACCCATTCCGTACGCCGGTCGCTGTTACCATTGTTCGTCTGGTACGTTCCACGGACCACCGGCAGTCACTCGCACTTTTTGCACCAATGGTCTGTAACGTGTCACACTTTCTCGCCCGGTCAACCAGCGGCTGAGGCGGTGGCGGCGATGGCGGTTACCGGCGGCGGCGGTGGTGGGGACGCAAGTGGCGGTGGCAGCGGTGGCGATGGCGGTGGCGGTGATGCTGGTGGGCGGTGGCAGCGGGGTGGTAGCGGTGGTAGCGGTGGTAGTGGTGGCGGTGGCAGAGGCTAGAGACGGTGGCGGTGGTGGCGGTGATGCAGGTGGGCGGTGGCAGCGGGGTGGCAGCGGGGTGGTAGCGGTGGTAGCGGTGGTAGTGGTGGTGGTGGTGGCGGTGGCGGTGGGTGGTGGCAGCGGGGTGGTGGCGGTGGTAGTGGTGGTAGTGGTGGCGGTGGTGGCGGTGGCAGAGGCTAGAGACGGTGGCGGTGTCCGTGTCCGTGAGAACCTCCACTGGCCCCGATCAGCTCAGGCGGCAAATGGGCCAGGCTGACCCGGCTGACGGTGTGTGCGGTGGGCTAATGCTAGAGGTGCAAGTGTGCGCTTCTACACAAAAAGATGCGCTTAAGGCCATCGGTCAGGACTGATATACCTATACTTACTTGATAACTGGCGTGGCATCAATACCGCATCCGGTATTCATATTGATGATTCATGCGATATTTCCGCAAATTTTGCCATCGATCAGGTCAGACGCGTGCATGGAACAGCATGTAGAGCTCTTACAGCCTTAACACGCGCAGTGGAAGGGTTGCGAGTACTACGCCCAGTGGAAGGGGGGGGCGGATGTCGCCCCCCCTAAGATCTCAGCTCCCACTGGAGCTAGAAAGACGAAATTTGGAGGGTAGGTGGAGGCTATAGGGAACTCTGTTGTGTGTGAATTTCATGACCCTAGGTCAATATCTTCAAGGTCAAATGAGGTCAAATGTGGTCAAATTTGCCATATTTGCGACTTTTTTGCGTTTACACGCCGATAACTCGAAAAGTTACCGGCCGATTTTCTTTTTTCTTTCACTATACGAAAGACCAAACCTTTGTGAGTATGTATGGTGAATTTCAAGTTAATCCAACAATGAATATGGCAGTTAGAAGCCTGCTAAGGGTAAGATGTCGCCGGCTGAAGCGGGATCGGCCGACGCGGGAAACGCGGCAATCACAATTTTGTGTTTACACACTCATAACTCAAGTTACTACCGGCCGATTTTCAAAATTCTTTGACCATACGATTGCCTGTACATTTCTCAGTCTTCTCACCAAATTTGACGCGAATCTAATTTAATCAGCGGTAAGGAGCGCGATGTAAAGACGGAACCGTCCCGCCCCGGCACAGTCTACAATTCAGGCGGCGCGTAATGGCTAGCGCCGGCCACCGCGCCGCCGCGCCGCCGCCGCGGCAGGATGTTTGACTTTACACCGCTATTACTAGAAAAGTTGTGAACCGATTTTCTTATTTCTTGCACGAGAAGATCCGCAATTCAATTCTAGACAGGTAGCCGAAATTGCACATTAATATTATGTTTGCGGCGCGAGTTATTGGCGAAAAACAGGAGGGGTGGGCGAAATCCGCCCCCCCCCCTTCCACTGCGCGTGTTAAAAAGGATGAGGGATAACAGCCGAATATTGGCTACAGCGCAGCCTTTTCTTACCTGGCACGAGTCAGTTCCTCCTTTTTCAAAGCCAGCGCAAAGGAATATTTCCGGGATATATTCTTTCCGCCCAGCTTTCTTGAATAGCTTCTTGCACTTGCTGTTTTCCATAATTGGAACAGTTGCCTGGGAAATAAAGTTTTGCATTAGTGTCAAATAAATGCATATTAGTAAGCGTAGTTCTTTTTCCTTCAGTTTTTGTCAGTTTTCAAGTACACAGTTATTTAGATTTAGATTATGAAAGCTAGACGTTATTCATTTACAAATCAACAGCGTACCTAAAGCTAAAAGATGATCAGCAGCATCTGCAGTTGGTCACTCCTCAATGGCTAAATAAATGAAAGTCAGCTGTTGGAAGCCATTATCGCACACCCGGCAATTGGAGCGTTGTACTATATTGTGCAATGCCGGTTTGTCCTTCTCCCACTGAACGCTGCGGCGCTCGGCGAGCCGCGGAGACCGTGGCAGCCACAGTCTCCATCCAGAGCCGGTCAACTTTCATTCCGTAACGTACCAGCAGGACCATAAACCGCCCCCGGAGGCTGGCCGTCACTCGGCGCGTCACGCCCAGTCCGTGACGTCACAGAGCGTGACGCCGCGGCCGTGACGTGACGCCGCCGCCGGCCGCCCATTCGGAGCAGTACGTGACAGTGCCACGGGACCCGTCTAAAAGCGACTTCGAGCTCGACACACTTGTCACACAATCTCAGACGGGTGAAAATTGAGGCCAGACAAACACCAATCAAGCGCCGGTCTCACGCACTCCGCTAAACGGATAGACACAGTCTGTACCGTCTTTGTTTGTAAGTACATACTGGCATCGCTTGTTTTATGCGATCGGAGTGAGATGCTGTGCAATGTATGTATGATCGCACGTCTATTCCCGTCACCTTTTTACGTCTTTTCTGAAGCCTCATCGATCAGTGACCAGTGACGTCACAGATCAGTGACGTGACGTGCATACGTCACAGCTGGCGGGCGGCTAGGTATATGAATGGTTTCGGCTCGGTCGCTCCGTCTGCCGCCGCTGGGATCGCGGCGCAACTGGGGCGTGCACAGACGGCCAATCTCCCTCCCTCCCTTCCTCCCGTCCCCCTCTCTCCGTCGGCAGGAAACGTAGTCGGCCCCGCAAATGGTTTATAGGTCAGAGGGTGGTGTAAATGGTGGAAGAGGACACGCCAAAGCGGCCGTGTCGGGTGGAAAATTGGACGACGGGTGAGATCAGGTCAGAGAGATGCTGCAGAGGGTGTGAAGTCCGCACGGTTTCCGGTACTGTCGCTACAGACATGAGACAATGTCAATGCATTGTCAGGACGGATGCAGCAGGGCAGAGGGAAGATAATTGCTTCACTTCGAATGGAATTATCCGATGTCATTTTGGAGCATTTTTACCTCTTATGTTGAGGACCTTGTTGCCCCTTGTAAGCCCCGTGCTGTATCCGTCCCGTCATATGCCTCTGTAAATACACTGATGATTTACATTCGTGTAGGTGTGCAAAGATTTGCAAATTTTGCAGTTGCATGAGTTCGCTCACCTGTTGCAGTATGCTGGGCAGCGTGCCTCCCTCGCTGAGCCGACCCCAGCCGGTGACAGTGGCGTTCTCCCCCACCAGCCGGTCGTCATTCCCCGGCAGACAGATGGGGTGCACGTTCGGCGCCAGGTCCACCGGGCGCTCCAGCTTCACCAGCGCCAGGTCGTACTCGAACGAGTAAAAGTTGTACTTGGGATGCACAAACTTGCCAGCCGCGTTCCGCTCCTGGTACGGGAACGGCTCCTGCACCGAGCCAAAGTCGTACTCGCCGACACGGATGCGGATCTGGCTCAGCACCAGACTGTGGAGGAAGGAAACGCGCGGTCAAATATGTGATGCCGGTACAATCAATCATAGGTTTTCATGCTTCACGGTCTTTATATTACATACATTCACTGCAAAGACTTGCTAAAATGACGTAATTACTGGACTAAGTTATCATTTCATATACTGCCTTATATTGATACGTACATCAGAAAGTCAACGAGATATTGTTTAATACAGAAATGACTTAATCCCTGGTGCAACTCCAGACGCCACTCACTCGTCGACGCAGTGTCCGGCGGTGGCGACCCACTGCTCATTGAGCAGTGCCCCGCCGCACCGGTGAGTGGTGCTCAGACCGAAGAAGGAGGTGCGCCGCACGGACACCTGCCACGGGAAGCTGCCGAACGGCGCGTTCTTGCCGCCTACGATCCTGGTCTCCGGGGAGGCTCCGGGCCCGGAGAACAGCGGCGGCACGCCGCACTCTGAGCAGGCGTAAGAGAGGGGGAGGGGTCAGAGACGGACATTTAGCTGAAAGCAAGGTGATGCAGAAAGAAAGTAATGACTTAGAATTTAGAAATTAAAATTGCCAGCAAAGTCAATAAACGAGAAGATTGGTGCATTACTGCCAGTAACCATGAAGAACTTGAAGCAAAAAAAAAAAAATCCATCTTACCCGACATCTGCTAAAATCGCCTTTCAAACGAAAGTCAAGCTTTTCTAAGCCAGCATTGTGAGCCATTCCCGATTGCCGTCTGAGCCATGCGGATGCGCCATCGGCTTCGTCTTACCTGCGGCTCTTGCGGCTCCGGCGGGTGGCGTGGCCTGCGTCGCCGGCCGACTGGTGGTGGTGGTCCGAGCGGTGGTTGTCCGAGTGGTGGTGGTCGCTCTGGTGGTGGTGGTTGTTGTTGTTGTGGTGGTGGTGGTCGGCGGCCGGGAGGTCGCCCCCAGGCTGGACCAGTGGGGTCGGGTGGGTCGCGTCGGCCGCGGCCAGGGCGTCGCCACGTCCGGCAGTGTGTCCTGCACGTTCACCCACTGGACGGAGGGCGCCGACGACTGACTGGCGGCCGTCTCCAGTAGCGCTGCCGCCGTGGACGTGGACGTCTGTGTGGTGGACGGCACTGCCTCGGTGGTCGTGGAGGGGAAGGTGATGGAGGCGGGTGGCGGGCGGGTGGGTCGCGTCGGCCGCGTCGGTCGCGGCCACGGCTTGGTGAGCGCCACCGGGCCGGAGCCCACCTCGTTCTCCTGGACCGAGGGCCTCTCCGGGATGACCTGCGGCAGCTCTGGCCAGTCGAGCGGCGCCGTCGCCGGTTCCTCTGTCGGCCGACGTGTCGGTGTCGACGACCAGCGGTCGGTGATCGTCGACGGACGGTCGTAGGGGCGGACCGGCTCGACGGCGAGCGAAGAGGGGCGGGAGGGGTAGGTGGAGGGGCGGGAGGGCGACGGTCTGCCCTTATACGGGCTGTACCGGTCTACTGAGGGCGAGCTGTCGTCCGGATAACGGTCGATGTAGCTTGTTGGTTTATTCTGATGTGGCTTGGCCTTGTCAAAATAAGGTTTGTCTCTATCCAGATAACTTGATGGTTTATTTTTATGTGAATATGAGGATGGTTTGTCTCTGTTTATATACGATGCAAATGGTTTGTCTCTATCCGGATATAATGAAGGTTTGTCTCTATCTGGATAAGACGACGGCCTTTCGAAGTAACTGGACGGCCTGTCAGGATATCTATCTTGGTAAATATGAGGTCGATCCTTGAACCTATCTGAATAGGATGGCTTATCCGGATATCTCTCCTCATATAGCGCGGGTTCTTCTGGATATCGGTCTGGAAGTGTTGATGGCCTATCTGGATATGTTGATGGCCTATCTGGATATGTTGACGGCCTATCCGGATAAGTTGACGGCCTATCCGGATATGTTGACGGCCTATCCGGATAAGTTGATGGCCTGTCCGGATAGGTGGACCCGACTGTCGGGGGCTGTGTGTACTCCGCTGGTCCGGAGCTCCAGTGCGTCCCGGGACCGGCGCTGGTCCCCGCTCCAGCCGTCTCCAGCAGTGACGTCCAGCCGTCGACATCAGCGTGAGCCGTGCTAGCGGCGGCCGTCATCAGCTCCTGCGGCCCGGCGGTCGGCGTCATCGCCAGCTCGTCCGGCATCTCGCAGCAGCCGCCGAACATGAAGCGGTCCGTGCAGATGCCGACCGGCTCGCCGCCCTTCTTGACGCACTCCCAGACGAACATACAGACACCGCGCCGGCCGGAGCGGCTCGAGATGCAGGGCGAGGGCCGGATCTGACTCTGACTGGAGTGACTCGAGTCTGCCGGCAGACGGGAAGCAGGGGAGTCAGAGAAGCTGGGGGGACCTATGCAAATCTATTTTACAATGCCACCTATTGGATGAATTACGCATTTCACCAACACAAAATGTTCTCAACTATCTCCAGTTTCATATTTTGATTAACGACAGACGCTGGCATGACGTCCATCCAGCTGCTGGTCTACTGCTGCACCAGGCCAACCTGGCTTTGGCAAGGTGATGTTCTGTTGGTATTTGGTAACCTATTGAATCATCATTACTGAACAGTTGTCGACACCTTACTCTCAAATGAGCTTTCATTGAATAAAAAGTCACTCTGATGAGGCATGTCATACAGTTTGCATGCTTCATGTCACCAATGACCTCTCGGCTCTACTGGAATCAGCTCTGCCCCGCTCCCTGCCAGTGATATATGGCGCTGTTGCGCGTCTGTCCCAGCTCCAGGTGGTGATCTACTGTCCCCGTCCCGGCCCGCGCCGCCCGGTCCGGGCCGGCGCCGTGGCTCAGTCGCGTGCCGAAAGGAGGCCAGTTTTCACGGCTCGTTTGACCGGGGAACGACGCCAGGCCCGGCGGCACGGACCAGGACGGACCAGAGACCATACTGTGGTCGGGGGTAAGGGAGGGGCGGCACGGACCAGGACGGACCAGAGACCACTGAGGCCGGGGGTAAGGGAGGGGCGTGCCGCCCCTCCCAGTGGTCTCTGGTGCCGCCAGGACGGACCAGAGACCACTGAGGATGGGGTTAGGGAGGGCGGCACGGGCCAGGGCGGACCAGAGACCACTGAGGCCGGGGTAAGGGAGGGCGGCACGGACCAGGACGGACCAGAGACCACTGAGAATGGGGGTGAGGGAGGGCGGCACGGGCCAGGAGTGCCAGGACAGACCAGGGATCACCCTGTTTACCGCTGTGGGTTTATGGAAGGCCGGCACGGACTAGAACGGACCAGAGACCACTTGATATGCCGGGGGCTGCGGAGAGGCGGCGCGGACCGGGACGGACTAGAGGCGACTGAGGCTGGGGTCTGTGGAGAGGCGGCTGACTGCTGAGGAATATTGCATTTTTTTTTTTTGCAATTTGATGCATTATCAACTAAATGCACCTATGGAATCTGCATGGATCAGTTACCAACATATCAACGCATGTAACGTTATGCTGAATGGTTGTCACCGTCTCTTTTTCCTCTCAGATGCTGCGGATGGACGGTTTGAAGGCTCTGTACGGCCACTTAGTTCGCACTGGGTGTTTTCTTTTCATAAATCCTCGACTCGAGCTGGCCTTTGTAAGAAGACAATGTCCCAGGCAAAATGTCGATCAGCCAGCGAAAGTAACAGTTCATGACATGCAAAACTGAGAAAGCTTGTAAGAAATGTGACAAAACATCTATCGTGCTTTCAACTTAGGAAAGAAACAATAGACTCTCAGGTGATCATTCAAAAATTATTTGGTAGGTATGCAGTATGTTTCTTCCCGTGTTTATCCCTTCAGGTAATTGCTGTGCTTATTCTCAGGGCTGGATATTCAATTGGAGAGTCTATTTTTTAACGAATTTTGCTTGTTTTGTTTGAAAATAAACATGATTGTATTACACACGTACTTGAATGCATACCATATATGCTTCTGGATATAAAGTGGCAATTACCGCAACGCTGCGCTCGGCGTATTACCGACGCCTCTTTAGTACTCACATATACTTCTGCCATCGCGGGCATTGTTGATGAGGTGCTGGAGATATGGCAATGTGAGGTTGGGAGAGATTTGAGCGAGCTCCTGCTGTCCAGATCCATCGGCGCTGGTGAGCAGCGGTAGGAGTAGGAGCGGCAGCAGCAGAACAGAGACAGCAGGAGCAGGCGCACACCGCCCGCCGTCGGCCGAACTGTCGGGTCTCTTCCGTCGTCCTGAAAACAGACAGACGTACATGGTAACATGAGGCATATGCCGAAATTTGTCTATTTTAAACATTGACTGTGCACGGAACGGCGAACGCCAAACTCATTTCGCAACTAAAGACACGTGCTTAAATGCATGTTAAACAAAGGTGAATTTTATGTTAACTTTTATCATGAAGCTCCGCTGTTTGTGGCTCAGTGCCTTGCTCTCTGTGTACATACTCTCTGGCACTGACGTGTGCCGTCACAGTGTGAGTAGCGTGCGTCACGGGCGGCGTCACGCTGGGCGTCACACTGCACCGTCACGCGTGCAGTTTTACTTTCCGAAAAATGGGTTAGACCAAGTGGGTCGGGGCTGGCGGGCGGCGCGGCGGCCAGCTGTGACCAGATGGTCGGCTCGCAGAGAGACCGGACAGACGGGCGAGCAGAGACGAGACCGACGCGAGACCGACCGACCGCAACCGCAGCCGCCGCGCCGACCGCAGCCGGCACCGGCGCGTGCAGGGGGCTTCTGAGACTGGAGGGAATCGCGCGAAATGCGGATTCGCAATAGACGATGTGACTTCGCCAATTAGTTAGATTCATAGAATATAGAATCAATCTCCGTTACGTTGCGGAGATGCGGTGTAGACTTCTCAGTACATCCTTCGGTCGAGGAGACAAGTGCCAACGACATGACCGACATGAGAAGCACAGAGAGACGTGATTTGCTGAAAACAACGACCACATAGCAACGTGATTCGTGCGTGATCTGAGCCCCAAAACACCAACGAAATTTGACCAGTGATCTGGGCACTGCACGTATGACCACAATGGACGTGTTTGTAACCTGAACACGAGTATAATGAGGACATGTGACCTGTGTGGTCTGAACTCTGAACCGCTCGGAAATGTGCGTCGTGTGCGCATATCGGTCTATCTTAGACAGAACGCAGAACGGACTGGGGTGAAGGAACGGGGTGACCCAGAAACGACCACCGACACCGGCGCGGCGGTCGGTGAGACTGGCAATCAGCGGTAAAGATCGGGTCTGGGACTCCTCAGACCCAGCCGGTCCCATCCAGACTGCCGGGGCGCGGAGTAGGGTGAGATAGTCACGGTAGAGTGAGCAGCGCTGTGTCCTTGAGCAAGATCATGGCCTTGTTGTAGGTACTTGCATAAGGCTAATGAGTACGCAATGAAGCCATGCCAAATGTCGGATTGAATATTTGATCCTCATGCTAGTTATAGGGGTGGCTTGATAACAATAGGTATGACGCAGGAGATCAATAGATTAGATAGGCGAGTCATACCATAATGAAAAGATTAGTGCTAGTGCTGGCAACTTCAAAATTTGTATTTAGCATCACTACAATATCTAAGCAGTCCAATGCAAACTAAATCAGAAAATATCTGGCTTCGCAACAACAGTTGACACTGCTTTGAGCACGCTTTCTCATGGAGACTGCATTTCATCACATAACAATAGCACCACTCGAGACGGCAGGCAAGAGACTGCATTCGCTCACACAACAGCAGCACCAAAGATTCCATGGTACAGGAGACTGCATCAGGCGCTAGGTAGCTAGCACCATATCTCTGATCGTAGATATATCGAAATGTTTGAATATAAAAACTTATCGAGCTCATTGCAGCTCAGTGACCATACATATATATTTGAACAGATATCAGCTGACCGCGTTGAACTTCAGCCCAGCTCGTCCCCTCCCCAAACGACACTCCCCCCCCCACGACCACTGTCGTCGAATCATTACCATCGCATGCAATGTAAATACCAGGAACAGTTGAACCGGAGAAGTGGGCCATCTGCCACGGGTATATTATTCTCAGAACACCATTGTTATATCCATCCTTTGTAATAACTGTCACTGCAATAGCTTAGGAACAGCGAGATTGTGGGATATTATCTGTGCAAAGCGGCATGCCAAAAATCTTACTGCGAGCTCGCGAAGCAAAACACATCGAAGGAGCAGTTAAGACAGCTGACAAAGTTTGAACTGTTTTCAATATTTTGCTGCATACTTGCGTAGGCATAAAGCACGCGTTTATCTTGTGCGACTGTTACATAACTATCCGAGCCTCACCAAGATAGCAACGTGTGGGAAACTGGCTAGTTTTGTCGCATTAGCACATCATCAGAAAGCTCTCGAATCACCGTTCCACTAATGCAGAGAACGCTGACCACCAAATGTCCTGGCCATCTCCCGGTGGTGAGCTATGAGCCGAGGAGGGCCGGCTCGCCACCCGCGGCCGGAGCGCGTGGAAACTGCCGTGCCGCTCCGGCGCATTCTACGACTCCGTTCCAGATGAATCTCACGCTGAGCTGCAGCGTCTGGCGTCCATTACGAGCTGGATAGAGAATCAGAACCACAGCCGTTCGGGGACGAGCCAAGTGCTTTCGTAGCGCGTTCTCTCTGCCAGTCGTGCGAGGCAGAACATGCCGAATGCATTTCCTGGTTGACAGCTGAGGATGTCCGTCTTTGCTGGAAACTAATCAATGTTCAGCCGGCAACAGGACGTGGAACCCAATGTTGCGACATGGAGGAAGAAGAGACGCAATTATAAGCGGATGCCATTCTTGCAGCTAAAGCCGACAATATTCGGCGCAGTGATTGCTGGATCAATTGATCGTAAAGAAAGAAGCTAATCGTGCATGGGAACAGTCCAAATTCACAAGTTGATCCGTGGCTATTCTGTTTTTTTTTTGTTTATCGATTAACGATTTACACCATCAATGGCATTTTTGCATTTTTACATTGAACGCATACTAGCACAGCCGCTTCAGTATGATTTATATAGTTTCACTTTTCCTGACTGTATGAGCATCGTGAGCGAAGACAAGAAAACACGACAGCACGCCGATGGCACGCTTCTAACCGCGCTCGGGGGAGTTAGTACAAGGCGTGGCACGGCGGTGTCACGAACACCCCGTCACGTTTTGTGACGCTGGGAGAGAGGAGGGAGGCGGGAGAGAGGGGAGGCGTTTTGATAGCGCGCAGCCTCGGGCTGACCTTACGGGAGAAACCGGCGCTGAAACGGTTTGCTGCCTGCTCACCGGGTGTGGAGATATGCATTGTTTCCGTGGCGACGGATTTCTAATACCCACATACACGGCGCCAGTGTTGTGTGGTGTAAGGAGACTGGAGGATGCCTCTCAACAGAGCTGTGCTTGATATTTCCATACGGCCTTTGTAAATTAGAGATGCAAAGCCGAATACTGGAAATGACCCTTGATGACAATGTGCCTCCTGCGAAATTATCTACCAGTTTGCTCTAGCATGTGAACGAGAATCTTATTGGAAGGTTATCCCAACGGTTATTCAGGATGATAATGATTTCACAATCACTCAATTTTATTAATTTTTGAACATCTTACCAGGGTAATGATTTATAACTTTCATCATCAGATAATTCTACAACCAGCGTCTGAGACGCCTTTTGAGACGGCAAACGAAGGGTCGCAATAAAGGCCCTGCATGGGTGCGCACGTATCGTAACATCTCAAACATGAAACCATAGCCTCTTATCTGCAAGCACACATATTTCATGTATTTTCCAGTAATTGTTACCTCATTTCATCTCACCACGTAAGCGTAATAAAATGCTTATCTTACTCGTCAAATTGGCATTTCAGCTCATCCTGAGAGCATTTTACACACACAATGTAGGTATTGGATAGAGGAACAACTCAACACCTTATCCGCGTGGGAACCACGCATACGTTCGAAAAAAACGTCTCTGGCTTCATTTTGCTGAAAGAAGCAGACAGAACGCGACACACCAAAGCGGTAACAACGTCACCAGATGAAGACGGGAAAGGACGAGACGCATGAATAGAACGGGCAGGGACAGGATGAGACGGTATTGTATGGGAAGAGGTGGGACAAGGCATCCATCCATACCTCCACTGTTCAATTTGACATATGAAAACAGTGCCCGTTGGTAACGGGCTGTCTCTCGGGACACCTGTGGTGACTCGGTGCAGTATTGAAGATAGATGCCATCTGTTACGTTGTGAGGCTAACTAACGAGCACTACCTATTATTGTTGTTTGTTGTAGGAGAGAAGATCTTGGACACTTTTTACCAAGACAAAGCCATGTTTGACGACTTGAGAAGCTTTGATTACGGCATCACGCAAGATATAAAAACGTTTAAATATTTATGATACCATTGATGTTTTTTCTTTGAATAGTGAAAATAAGCTTGACTTTTTTTATTAATGTGATTTAATGAAATTATGTTAAGCTGTACTAATTTAAATGAATTTTTGTTTATAGGGAATTTTTGGACTTGCCTTCACTGGTCCCGGAGACCGCTGCTGTTTTAGCCACTTACAAACCAGAAAACACTTCAACTAAATGCTTCCATTCACTAATCAGAACTTTCCACTACTGTCCAGCACAAAGCTTCACTTTCCACTCTCCCAGTAAGAGGTTTTATCAACCTTACAACAACACATGGCAAAGTCATTTCGACAACCGTCCAATCCAGTCTTGTTTGAATGGTATCCCCACCCACGCGGAACAGTGAGAATCTCTTCACTCTCCACCAAACAATTGAACTGCCGAGACCGATTGTATGTCGCCGACCGGAAAGTTTGCAGTCTGGGCACGCTTTATCTGGGCCTGGGTGACAGCGTGGCGTGCTGCGCGTCTATTGAGGCCATCGAACCGAGCTCAGTAGAGCCAATCCAAGCCATCTGATGCTCGGATCGACCACCTGTTACGCGCCTCTCTCCGCGTCTGTGGCGGCACACACGAATCGGAGAGGATTTCCCGCTGTTCTGAGGCGATCGTCGTGACTCTCAGTTCAACAAGAGAGATCTGTTGAAATCATTCAGGTGAATTGCTGCGGAATTATGCTTCAAAGAAGGACGTTGAATTGATAAGTGAGCACAAACAACCACCAAAAGTGACGCTAACATGAAAAACGTTATCCATGTATGAATGTGGACCTGCGCTTCAAGCGTTTCATCACAATTTTTGAATAATGCTGGATTATTTTATGAACGTCCAGCTTTGTACAGTATATCTAAAAAGTATGTCCCCTGGTTTGGCTCTCCCACAGGAGGCGAATCGGTAACTTGGCTGAATCCCAGTTGCGGCATCCGGCCGCCAGGGTCGCTGCCGCTCGAGCGGCCTTGACCGCTCGCATGTCATTGGCAGTTCGGTCCCTCCCCATCTATACCGAGGTGGAGAGGGGAGAAGAGGGGAAGAGAGGGGAGGGAGCGGCATCCGCTCGGCACTTGGCGATACCTGGCTGACCCCGCGCTCCCTCGCTGACCTTTGTCCTGCCCTCAGGCGAAGACCGACTTCCTGGCCTGTAGCGGCCCAGCGGAAAACCGAGCTCGCGGGGCGCGACTCCATTGGCCCAATCTTATAAATGGAATGCTGTCGTATTCACGGCATTAGATAATATTAATAGTGATACCAGCAGTGGATGTGGTAAAATACAGTCCAAAATAAACGAAAGCACTCGATTCGTGCATAATGCGCCCTCCCATTCAAATAAGCCCGCCCACTTCGATAGATGGTGTAGTTTCTTAGGGCGTAAAAGATGCAAAACACTACCGATTTTTTTTTTAGCTCGGCCACTGGGACCGACAATATACAATTGACTGAAATGCATGAAAACCATTTTGCATTTATGTAATAGCCGTTTTCTGCACCCAAACTTCAGCCAGTGACGCCCTGTCCATTTTAAAGCGTTTATAAGATTGGTCCCAGCACCCGATTTTATATGAGGAAGTCGTTTAAAAAGCATCTTATTTCTAACGAATTTATTATTATGGCCACTTTTACAGGACGTCTATAGAGCTTTGGCTTTTTCATTTCTTCCTCGTTCAGGAGAAACGTTTTAACCCTCACCGGACCTTCAGGTTTTCTGAATACCGAGGGACGTTGGGGGTTGGAAGTGAGGAAACAACCCCCTTCGCCGATTCGCCCCTAATTGAGCTAGAGCCTCACGAAAGAAACAATCGTGTGCGTCGTTACGAAATGCAGCGATTGGTCTCCGATTTAAGGACCAGGGTCAGCCGATGACTTCGGAGGTCAGGTCAAGTGGCCCAAGGCACAGGTTCGGTTTTTGGTAAATAACTTCGCTAAAAATGATCGCAGATCCGCGATTTTAGCAGCATCGTGTTTGTCTAGCTCAGGCGTGTCGAATGGTATACTTTTTCTTCGGGTGAGATCAACTTAACCCTCGCCCGTATAGAGGGGGGGGGGTCGAACGGACCCCCCTCCCTCGGTTTTTCGCGAATAACTCGCGTAAAAAGCGGCCGATCGCGACGAAACTTTCGTTACCCTCGCTTTAATCAATTTTACACCCACCCTGAAATTGTCATGACCCTGACCTTAATGACCTTTGACCTGCGACCTACTTTTCGAGACCATGTTTGGCCGGAATCGCGATTCGGCGTATGTCGGCTCGCATTAGCGGCGCGTTTGCAGTCTTTTCGTGGTTTTAAGCGTTCAAACATGGGATATGATGCTGCTTCCATGCATTAGGGTGGGTGTCAAGGTCACCGGAAAGTCAGGTCAGGTCATTGACCTTTGATGACCTCGGTTCACTTTTCGAGTTTTACATGTTTCTAGGCCAGTTTTAGGAGCTGAATTCGAATTTAGCAGCCATATGAACATTTACGAAGTAGTTTTGGTGCCCTCGTAACATGTTGCGAAGCTGTCAGAGGCGGTTGCCACCTACTACGAATACCCTTACTGGTTGACCTGACCTGACCTGACCCAACCTGGCCTAAATGCATGAAGACATCATCTGTGATCAAAACTAACATGATATTCGTGATCAGCACCCCGAAAACCCCATAGCAGCCACGCTTTACGACTTTCTAACAGGCCCGATTTTCCCGACTTTTGGGTCATTGACCTGACCTGGAAAGTCAACCGATGACCTAGGACCTTAAAATTGGGTATCATCGACTTCCTTTCGTCACGGCCAACACGCTCGTTTTTTCCGCGAAGCTCTAGCTCGATCAGGGGCGAAACGGCAAGGGAGGGTCCAACGGACCCCCCCCCCCCTTATACGTTTGCAGCTGGAAAAACACCAATATGGGCGAGAGTTAAGGTGTTAACCTCGGGTCAAGGTCAGGTCACAGCCCGTCAGGTCACGAAGCTGGTCAAAGGAGGTCATATTGCATATCAATCGATTCGGCAGGTCTTTTCATGTCCATTAGTGGCTTTATCGACTCGGTAGCTTTAGTTGATCGGGAGTTATTGACGAAAAACTGATACCCTTGGTTACGTGATAAATGACGTCACGCAAGATCAACAAAGCAAAATTAAAGCATCAGACCTTGCAAGGAGCGCATGAAATCACGATTCCGTGTGCTTGAGAATTTGAGATAGTTGTATATCATTTCCGGACCAAACTAGCAATTCCCATATTCCCCTGACTTTTAATGGTGAGAGACTGACCTGATCTCAGGCGACCCTTCAGAAAATCCGAGATATACATTTATACAAGTTGTGAGACTCTCGATCATACTATAAGATCCTGTAAGTTTCATCTCCCTATGAAAGCTCTGCACTGAGGGTGTAGCGAAGTTGAACATTTTAGGAGTGTGCACACAGTCCTAAAATGTTGAGGACAGTTTAGGACAGTTTCACACAGTTCATTTTAGGACTGCTCATTTATGACGTCATAGATCAGTGACCTGACTTGACTTAAAAATGCGGTTGGCGTAAAAAAATCTGACTTATCAAATCCCGACTAAAAAAATCGGCTTATAATCCGGTTAATCAAATCCCGACCATGTTTTTACCTGGCCATTAATGTTCTAGCCTTAACAGGTGATTTTTTGAATGCGGAAGATGCTGAATCTTGGTTAACCCCATACTTATCGTATGATAAAGAACGTCAGTGTTAGAAAGTTAATTAACAATTTTATTTAGGATAGTTTAATTCGAGTGGGTATAATCCGACTTGACAATTTACTAGGAGGGTTTTGCAGCGCTATTAGTTCGGCATTTAATTATAAATCATTGCTAATTTCGATCCGGATATCGTTATTCAATGCTGGCCTTTGCGTCCTCAGAAAGTTGTTTATAGTCATGAATGCTTGCATTGACCCATACTTTCCATTTTTCAGCACTATTATTCGCCGTAGTTGACCAGGTGTTTTCTTCAGCTCTCCCCTGAATCCTTTGGCTTAGACCTGGCGTATCACCCGTGCATCGCAATACGCACCTACCACACACAAGTTCATGATCCCCACGAACCCACATCAGCGTTCGTTCGCTTGGTGCGTGACCCCTTGACCTTTGGCCGCGACTACTGCCAGCTTGCTGTGGAGCACCCCTCCCTACACGCGCTGCCCCGCCCGCTCCCCTCCCTCCCCCCCCCCCGGGGTCGTGTCACGAAGGTTCGGGCTTACGCTACTACCGGCCGCTGCGCAGCTGTCACCTAGCGCCTGGGAATGTGTGGTCTGGTGCGGATTCAGCCAACTACCGGCTCGCGACACCAGCGCCACGTAGTGGCGACGGTACATTCTTTTTAGACACACTGTACACTTATGTTCCGAATCGGAACCTCTTTGTCAATCATCAAATTCTTCCCACCGGACACTAACTAACCTGGGCCGTTGAGCAAGGCGTGAATCATATCGTCACGAGGCTGGTGTTCCGTGCACCCAGTCGCATGTCTGTCGTCTATCACTCCCGGACACTACCGGTGACGCACATTGTCACACACAGCCACTTGTTACCCCGCCCCGCGCCCTGCACTGTCCGCGCACAGTGACCCGCGCTGTCTGACCGCTCAGCTCGCACTGCGTCCGATCGTCTCCGGTCGTCAGTTGGGAGTCGTGGAGCCCCGCTCGGTGGGCGAGAGACGCGCGGCCCGACCGGCGAGACGCTCCGTCAGCGACTGACGCGGCGGCAACGGCGGCGGCGGCGGCGGGGTATCCAGGTCAGCCGCCGCCGCTGCCGGGCCGTCACACCGTCACATTACCGTCACACCGTCATCACAGCGCTCTGTCACACCGTCATCACAGCGCTCCGTCTCACCGTCACATCGTCACCGATCCCACATCGCACCATCAGGCCTCATTTTTAGCAATCAATTCACACGTTCGCACCTCCGTTTTCAAAACTCTTTTCACACAGTAACAGCTTGCAGCATCACCAGTCTTGTAAAAAATGTAAATGAAAAATAAACATAAGCTTCTTAGCGCATTTGAAGAGCTGGTGATGGGATTTCTTATTTCTAAATCACACTTCAACAACACACCAAACTAAATAGAGGCTCAACAGGCGATATCTGAATACAGTTACATCATAACAACATAAAAATGTGTGAATTCATGAATAATTTCTGACCAAGTTTAACTTCTAGCAGCCCTGCATCTTTTCATTGAAACAGCTGAGATAAGTGGAGCGTTTAAAATTGATTAACAAATCTAGTTCAAGTTTATCTCAGCGGAATATCCACCTCTATTGCATACCTGGTTAGGGCTAGAGAAATAATTACCGAAAGTATGGCCGACCGAAAGCGAGTAAATGGCTCAATAATTACACTCCGCGTCTCATTAGCCAGCGGTCTGTAATTGGCTCAGTGTCGCAGCTGGACGGGGCGACACCACCTTCCTTTTCAGCGGCCTCCTCAGCGAACAAAGGCAGCCGCCCTGTGGGCTGGACGGCATGCCGCTGGAAAGTTCTGCTGCAGAGAAAAGTGTACCGCCCTGCCGCATTGACGGCTGGAAAAGAACAGCCAACAGTCGCAGCCCGTGGCTGGTCGACTGTGAAATCCGACACGGCGCTGAAAGGGCCCACATTTTCAGACAGCCGGTCGGCCTGTCATGCATCTGTAACCCGAAATTACATTGCAGAACGAAAAGACGACGGTTTCATCTGGCCGAATGTCTCGATTGCGAGCAAATGCAGCGTAACTATTGATACTTACGTGCCCGAGATCTGGCAAAATTAGTTATAAAACCACAGCAAACTAAATAAAGTGTTGCCTTTTCTATTACTTTTTTCGTTTTACAAGTTTCCTTTGATTCGGCTATACCTATAGCATTGGTACTCGTACGTGGTATTCCTTGTTCTCGTCGCGTCCCACAACATTCTTCACCTTATTCGACCTGTGCCATTTCGGCCCAGGAATGCCCCAGTTCTCTGTGTGCGTAAATGTGCGCTACTTTGTTAGCAGCCGCTGTGCAAACAGTCGCACGCACACACACACATATGCCCAACGCACCGGACGGGTGGAACTTACGCTGCATACTGATAGGCAGCGTGAGCGCTCGTGTCGCATACCTACTGATTCATTTTAAAAGCTAACGGATTTACAAAGGCGCTATTTGTTACGGTCTTACCTGTCTTACATATTTTCTAAATGACCCCGCTACAATGTCATTTCAATGATCACAGATCCAGCAGCCAAGACTTATCTTTGTGTGTGGGTACATTTACTATGCATCTATAGTTACTTGTTGTCGGAAATCATGCAAAGAAGCGCTGTTGCTTGCGAGTATAAAACGTCGGGTATTTTGCATTTTGTGTTCTGTACTTGTATAGATTGGCCTGAATTCATACATAGCAAACTCTCGTTTCCAGGCTACAGTGCTACATTAACACCAAGTCTACCGCACTACCAGCCTTTCGGACTAGCAGACTTCCAGACTTACGCTGCGGCTCTTTTCAGTCCCGATGTATAGTGCTGTCCACCGACAGTGTCTGACAACCCAGGCCGACAGCAGTGGTCGGCCTCAGGCCCGACCCGTGACCCGTGCCGTGAACCAAACCGTGACCCACCCGGTGACCCGCCGGTGACCCGCCGCCGCTCGGGTCACCGGGTGTAACGGTGACCTGGTGACGCGAACTCGGTCATCGGAGCGTCCACTTCGCGCGGCTCCCAGGCCGGCGGTCATTAGTGGTGGCAACGTCACCCAGATCCGGCCCGGCCGGCAGGCCGGATCCGGCCCGGCACCGGAAACGACAGAGCGGCGGAGGGTGGGGAGAGTGAGGAGGGTGGGGAGAGAGGGAGAGGGTGGCCGGCGACCTGACATATCGCCACATCAGCCGTCACGGACCACTTCAGTGGCGATAGGGGCCGACGCCCTGTGTTTGTGTGTATGTGAGCGTGTGTATGTAATGTATGCGTGTGAGTGGTATGTATGTGTGTCTCTGTGGCGAGATATACGCACACACAGCACGCTTGCAGACTGCGTGTGGCCGGTTCATTAGTTCTGGTGAGGCGCGACGGTAGCGATGGCGGAGGTAAACACCGGGAAAGCGATGTCGGGCCGGTCACCCAGATAGACATCACACGGCGGCGCCCGGAGCACCTGTGAATGGTGTCAGCTCCGCCGCCACCGCCACTGCCACTGCCAGGGCAGGCGACGTACCGTGCCGATTCGACGCACAGCGAGAAGGCCCCTACACCATACAATGAGGTGTCGTTTCGCCAGCAGTGGTGTGGTGTCACTTGACCTTGCCCCGAGGCTGTCGGCAGGGTCCCGTGCATCATGATACTATTGTCACCCCCTGCACGACCTCTGTGAAGCGGGATGCAATTGCGGCACTGTTGCAGGGACGTTTGTCTGGACAATTTTTGAAATCTTCCACTGGAGAATGAATGTGAAGTTGAAACTTGAAAGAGCTGCAGTTGCGTGACCTGATTTCTTAAAAAGAAACACCATAGCTTGATTGTCCAAAACTACCCTTATTTTACGTTCATGTCGCGCTACAGCCCTTTACGATGCTTCATATTCAATAGAAAAACACGCAGTTCTAACGAATAATGTTTGTCTAATTTTCAAACAACCTGCGGTTACTAATTGAAAAACACGTTTTTTTTTTAGGTGAATGAGCATTTGTTTTCCATGAGAATGAAACATAGAGACCAAGACTGGAAACCAGGAACCAAAAATACAAGAGCACAGCTCATAATCGCTCAAGATGTTATAGGCCACTTTTAAAGGGAGATAATGAGCTTTCTTTTTTCTTTAATAAAAATTACTCGACATCTACATATACTATTTCTACTGTAGTTTCTATAAAATATGAAAATTTCCTAGCACATTTTCGTATGTGAAAAAGGTTTTTATTTTTGCAAAAAAGAAGCAGTACTTGCAGTACTTGTAACACCCACCGAAATGCGTTGTCCTTCTTGTCCTTCTCTATAAAAAAGTCGCAGTATATGGCGCTTTTGTTTCAAACAGCGACGCTTGGGTTTTTGTTTATGTTATCGCCTTGTCGTTTCTTGGTTGTAAGGATTCTAATTTGAATTAGAGTTAATTCGGTTTAGAATTAATTAGATTCGTACATAGTGCCTACTCTTCTTTGTTTCCAAGTATTATTTTGCGCCACAAATGAACGGCATGCGCCAGAAACGCAGCCAAATCTTGCGATTGCGACTACGAAATTCATTATTTTGGCCTCAGAGCCTGAAGCGAAAAATACAAGCATATTTATTTCAAAAAGACTTCAGGTTTGTCGAACGGTGTTATGAGAATTTTGATAACAGTACTGCATAAGTTTTTCAGTGATGCCGCAAAAGTGTTGTATCTATCTTCTTTTATTGTGCAGTCGGCGGGACCGATTCAAAATTGAGTCGTTGCTACTAAAATAGCAGCATATGGCCTCAGATGATGAACAGGAAAAATAGTTGCGTAAATTTAGACATAAACCACCCCCAAACCATGAATATCTTTTGAAGGCACTATAGACGACCATTAACTAACTACAGGGTGTTTCACTAAAAGTGTCAAAAAGTAAAAGGTCATAATGCACATAAGAACAATGTTTTCTTAGGAAATTTGCATATCATTTCATCCGCAATTGTTGGACATTTGAATATATAACAGCGATATCACCGTCACTCAAACCTATTCCACATATCCGCCCCTTCTTTTGATGCACCGTTTCCGCACGTGTCCGGAGGTGGCTCACAGCCCGTTTTCATATTCACCGTCCAGACTGTCGGCAAAGCCTTGAATTGTGCTCTTCAGCTCCCGAAATGATGCGACTTGAGTCTTCTCAGCTCTGCGAGAGCTACTGAGTCACTGACCAAAACCAGAAGTCTAGCGGTGACAGATCGGGGCTTCGCGCTGGCCATGGGGGCGGGCGGTGAGGCAGCTGATTATTTGGCCCAGGAGCTTCTGGTCCAGCCAGTTTCTGGTGGCTACAGCCGTCATAGTGGTTGTTTTTGATAACTTGTAAGGCCTTGGCTATATTTGATGTTAAAATTAGCTTCTTGTTATCTTCAAAGGCCCTTAAAAAGACCCTGACCTTTTCAACGGTTTCCGCCGAGAGGTGGGGGCGACCCCGCCTTTTTTTGGACTGGAACTGGCATCGAAGGAGCCCTTTTAAACCTCTTAAGAAGCTCTTTTAAACTTTTATAATCTGGAACGTAGCGAGGTGAGAGAGTAAAACGTTTCCTGAAAAGTCGGCATACCGTTTCAATGTTTCTGATGGCACCAAATGTAAGTGTAATTCACCCCTCCTGTTGAGGTGTAAATAACCTGTCCTTGGTCTGCATACGGAAAAAAACGACTAGTAACTTTGGCCTCCTGCCCTCGCTCCGTATGGGTGTAAAATACATCTTAAATGGACAAAGCATAAATGTCCAAAAATTTGCCACAAAGCCACATGCGCAACCACGTGATATGCATATTTTATATATCTTTAACAAGCATTTACTTTTTGACATTTTTAGTGAAACACCCTGTAGATGTGATGAAGATCAAATGTAAGGAATACGCTCATTTTACAAAATTACATGCAAGTACCAAAAAGTGATGTAAGTACTTATTCAACGGTCATTTTCAGCGCTCCCCGCTAACGTGACTTCAAGTTGAGATATTTGCGGCAAGGTACCGCATTGAGCAAAATGGTTTTAATTTACATTATAACTTGTTGTGTTTTGTCAGAAAATGATCCTAACTCAGATTTTGTGGAAAAAGGTCATTATCTCCCTTTAAGGGAACAAAAGCCGTGCCGTAATGCTGATGATCGAATACCTGAAAAATGCGGCATATATTGAAATACCACCGTATTACCACGCAACGAAGCAGCAGGAACGCTATAGTCGTGTTTGGCGTATAGCTGACGATTTAGCTAAATTTGTTATAACTCGCATGATACAAATAGTTCTTTTCCTTTTGCAGGATATCACATTGCGCACTGTGGTTCGCATTATGCTGACGGTTGGGTTGGACTGTACGGAATCCAATATGAGACGGGCTGGGGGTCTTCTCTCCACCGGACCCATATGCAAGTATTTGTGGCGGTCCGTAGGCCGTTAGCCGAACTCAATATTTTCAAGAACCTCGACTCCGGCGTAGAGCGGTTGCAGCTCGTTAGCTGGGACCAATGTGTCTTGACCGGTTGCGTGGCCGGCCGATTAGGGCACACACACACACACAGACACACACTTAGAGACACGCACTGGGCCCAGCTAACCAGGCGCGGCGGCGAGCGTGTGACGTTGTCACACCGGTTGTGTCAGCCGCCGGTCACGGCCTGTGACGGGTGAAAGGCCACGGTCTGCGCCGCTGGTGCCGCTGGTGCCGCTGGTGCCGCTGGTGCCGGTGCAGTGGTGACATGAACACTGTGTCGGCGGGTCAGCCGAGCTGTGTCACACCCGGCCTGTCCTTTCGCCAGGGCCGGCCGGCCGACATGCCGAGCGAGTCGTTTGCACAATGTGACGCTCTGTTAACGACGACACACAGCCACCGCCGCTGCTACTATGGTGTTGCGAGCAATTTCAGAGGGCGGAGGCCGACACACAATGAAAACGGCGACCTTGTCTTCAAGACACGCAACAAGAGTACCTGCGTGTGAGGGATTTCACCACTCGTTGCTATGTCTCTGAAATAACTTGGCCTTGGAAGACATCTTGGAAACTTTTCGTAGCTTGTGATTACGTTGTTCTTTTACTGGTAGGTAGTTGTTGCATAAAATGAGCTTCTCAAATTACGTGCTTTTTGCTTGAATTGCAGGGCTTACAAAATAGCTTCTACAAAGATGTTGTTGAAACATCTGTATCTAAACATCTGTAAACAAACATTGCTGTTTTGTGGTATATGTTATGGTATGCTGAGTGCTACAATTGATTTACCATTTCTCTTTGATATGAAATATTATTAATTGTAAAAAAAAAAAATCATTCAGAATTCTTGTCCAAAGCGAAGTCGAGCTGAGTTGTCGAGTATCTAGCAGCGTCCGAGCCCATCCTTTTGGAAAGGAAGCTTTCCAATGACCACGTCGCCCTGACCCAGCACCTCAAATGGTCACCCGAAGGAGTATCTTCAGATTTGCCCTTCATCGGTTTTCTGGTCAGGTGGGGTGATTGTCAGCCCAAACAATGTGATGTGCTTTCGGGATGCGGATGGGCTTAGTCAGGAGGATAAAAAGAATGAGGTAGACAATTTCAGAAAGCATGCTACTCATGAACTACTGACACATAAAGTGTGCTGTTACAATAACATTTGGTACACGATTTACGCCAGAAGATAATAAAGTCCATATTTATCGAGCTAAATTCAATTAAATACAGCTTGTATCTTCACGCTGTTAGAATGACCTTGTGTAGGATGCGTAAACGATGCAGGAAAATAGTCGCCATGATAATATGGCTATATGGATGCTGATTAAAGCGTCATTCTTACATTTTGGGCCTATTTTTGATTTCCTAAGTACACATTTGTAGACATCGAATTAGGAATGTAAAAGCAGATGTGACCAGCCGCCCGTTGTACCATTCAACAAGTGGAATTCAACGCTGAGTGTTATGGATTCAATGGAACATAAAACACTATTATTATACAATAAGCCACTGTATTGTCAAACACCAAGCTATGTATTACATCGGTGCGTTAGCAGTGCTCACAGCCTTCAGATCCAGACCAGCCCGGCGCGGAGGCAGCGCCACCTACACACAGGCACACTAGCGCCACCTGCACCAGGTGTGCTGGCTGGTCATGGTGCTACCGAACGCTAGGGAGAATACATGGATGACGGGTGCTGACCGCACGCGGAGAGGGCGGGCGACGGGTGACATCGGGCAGATATGGTGACGCGGTGTGCGGTCATGATGATGAGAATGACAATGGGTGCAGGCGGGTGGCGCACAGCATTGAGCGAGATAAGATACTTAAGTAATGTTAGGCAGTCGCCAGGGACGTGGTCCGCAGCAGTCAGGAACAAATGGAAACAAAACGCAGAGTTCATGTTACGCACAATACGAGATATGCTTGCGTACAAATAACGTCAGTTTTCGTCACATATACGCATGTATCACACAAACATAAAACACTCCTTGACTTTGGACAATAAAGCGACACACATGAACACTCAGCGTTTAGCGAACATTCACACACCCATACACATAAACACACGTGGAAACCCAGCACTCCCCGCACATTTCCCCAGTAGGACGCGTCCCTCTCCACCGGACGCTGCTCGGAGATCCGTGTCTCACACACGATCTTTGGTTTGACGGCTGGCTGTCGATCTCAGTCCGCCATCTGAGCGTTTCTCTTCACGTCCGTCTCCAGAGCGGACCCACTGCGCTCCGCTGACTAGGCCTCCACGGGACGGTGCCGCCCACCGAGGGCTGACCTGACACAGAGGGGGTCCTGGGGAGGGCCCGCTCACTGGCAGCTCCGCCGGACAGCCACTCTCTCAGAGACTTCCACCGGACCTGCGGCTCCCTCCGGGGGCAGACGACACGCTGACGACAGTCCCCGTCTTCCCCCACAGGACTTCGCCACTGGTGCACACACTATTACAGGTGGCAGCACTGCTCCCTGCGGCTCCGCACGAGCCCTCTCCCAGCCGGGAGACGCCGCCGGCCGCGCCCCGGTCTCTGAGGGGCCGGGCCCGCCGCGCCTCTGTCAACACCAGGACTCGCCGGCCACCGAGGAGGGCCGCACGGCCGGCGGTCGCGGCGGCCGCTCCCCCTCTCCCTCCTCCTCCTCCCCTCCCCCGTACATGTCCGCCAGCTTCCGGAACCGAGGACCGAACTCGTTCAGGTAGTCGTAGTTTTGGTCGTTGTCGTCGGTACCTGGTGGATGATAAATAAGCTAGGTTAGATAAACCTGTGCCGATGGACACGCATTAAGTCACAAGTTTATCAAAACAGTCTGAGCCACATCCAGTCCGTTGGACCAGCCCTGCCACCCCCCCCCCCCTCGCCCCGAGTCCTCCCCGCCGCCCCGTACCTGAGTTGATAGAGGACAGGGAGCCGGCCGAGCTGCCGCCGCCCTCGTACGCGTAGTTTCGCACATCGTCCGGCGGCCACACGCTGTCGTCGCTGTCAATCTTCTGTCGGTTGTCGTCGATAAAATCTCGTACCGAGACGGGAGGCGCCCTGCCCACCTGACCATTGCTCTCTGTAATGAGGAGACAAGTTAGCACCGATTCGCCACGCCGTCAAAACAAGGGTCAAGTCAAAACTAAGGTACATAAAAATGTATCGGTCTCAAATACGTACACGATAAAAGCCACTAGGCCAGGACGTCTACCATGTTCTTAGCAATAGGTAAGCATAACGTACAAATGACAAACCAAATATGCATACTATATCAGTCGTCAATAACGTCCATTCTTCTCAGTTCTCAGCCAGTTATTATGTGCGCTGATACTCACTGCTTGGCCCGTTGGCGACCTGCAGGACACTGAGGTCGTAGGCAGTCTGGTCCTTCTCGCCACCGCCCTCGTCGTCATAGTTGATGATGGTGTCCCGCATCTCGTCCGTCGGCTCCTTGTACAGCGTTCGCACGTTGCGTCGCCGGAACATGATGACGGCCAGCACCAGGACTGTTTAGGAGATAAAAAACGGCGATCAAACGATGCTTTAGGCATCGAAGGCCTTCATTAACTCTGCTAAAACATCAGAACTGGTGAGATTATCAATATTGAATGAAAGAGGAGTCCTGGCTGACTGACACTGACTGACATTGAAATTACTCAACAACTCCGATGCTGCTGCTGTACCTTCATGGCTATGTTTTATGTTGTAATAAAGCATAGGTCATTCTGTAAGTTACAGCGGGAGAGTGGTATGTGTCGAAGTAAGGAGCGACACTCACGCAGCAGGCAGACGAGGCAGCAGAGAAAGGCGATGAGGAAACTGGGCGTCGTCTCGATCACCGGCTGAGGCTTCACGTTCTCCACACAGTAGTTGCTGTAGTCCTTGCCGTAGGACGGGTGGCTCAGGTCGAACACCTGAGGAAGGAAAGTGGTGAACTCGTTAGGCAATGGCAGGCATTGAACGCGACCCTTTCATGGGGAAGGATTGGGAATGATAAACACGCTCTTCCTTACACTAACAAACTAACGAAGTGAAAATTATCTAACAGCAGAGTCGTTTGAGTACCAAGAAGGTATTCTTTTTAGTCAAAAACGCCACGTAACTCGAAAATTGAATGTCGAAGGACTACCAAGTATCAACAGAAACGCACACCATGTTTAAAAATGGCCGGAATTTGTGAACTAGCCCTACATAACCCCTCCTCTCGTGTCTCCGCCTTCTTACCCGGTCGAGGAAGGTCATGTTCTGGATACAGCCGGTGAAGCCGCCCCAGCCGGGCAGTCGATCCCAGGAGACGGCCGACTGCACCCGGTCCAGGGGCACCGCCGAACCCCCCAGCTGCAGCGGCGCCGCCACGTTCAGAAACCGCGAGCTGCCGGGCACGGCCGCCGCCGCCTGGCACTCGGGTACTCCGACACAGCTGTCCACCAGGACCGTCACAGTCTGGGGAGGGAGGGAGGGGTCAGTACATGACAGTACACAGCTGTCCACCAGGACAGTCACAGTCTGGGGAGGGAGGGAGGGAGGGAGGGGGAGTCAGTAGTCAGTACACTATGAGGGGACAGCACATTGGGTGCTCCAATACAGCTGGCTTCTAAAATAGTGATAGTCTGGGGAGGGAGGGAGGAGTCAGTACACTCTGGGTAGTCAGAAAACTCGTGTACTACGACACAGCTATCCACCAGGACACTCACAGTCTTCTGAGGAAGGTGAGGTGTTATATGTATAAGGACACTTTGGTTATATGTATAGAATATCATCGACAGCCTTTCGATGGTTGAGGTCCAATATACTTCAATACACTGTATGAACACTACTCGACCATGTATTGAGGTCTATCAGCAGGACTAATCGCCCCAGGTAAGCCCGTCTCCGGTGTGCCCCAATAAGCACGGCTAAGCTGGCGTATTCAATAACCAGACACATTGATCCATCTAGTCAATAGACGGTAACGGTGGCAAACAACCCTTCTGCTCCGTCTGACGGGCCGCGCCGGGCGGGGGCGGGGCCGCGGGGGCAGGGGCGGGTCTCGTCAGTCTGAAGTGTTAATCACTATCCATCACGAGGTGCCGAGTGGCCAGTCGTGACCGGGCAGTATTAGTCACACCCGCAGCCTAAGCGGTCCGCGCCACCGGCTAAACGCCCGACAACAGCGGTAGTCAACGAGACCTGGATACAACCACCGCAGGCAGCGTCCAGCCGAGGTAGGCGTGGCGACAGACCATAAACCACTGACATTTCATACTGTAGTGTAGTACTGCACCATGGGTAATTTTCATTATTATTGTTGGGTTAGCTTGATCGCCACGGGCTGACCTACAGAGCCGGCGCAGTGAGAACGTACATACCACCTCCTTCTTCCACCCTCATCTTACTCCTCACCCAAGCCTCATCCGCTCTCACCGACCTGGGTGTCCCATGTGATGTCCACGTGATGACGCTTCCCATCGTTGACAGCAGTTTGGGGACTGGCCACGGCCGTGGCGGCGCCGAAATTGAGAAACACCCTCAGCCGACCCTCGTGAAGGTCGATGGCGAAATAATCTGAAAAAGCCGACAGATAGTCAGGATTAATGGAAAGAGCGACGATCGTGACAAACAAGCATAAATGATCAATGAAAAGGCGACATCGTGACAAACAAGTATGTGCAAAATATGTGCAATGAAACAAAAATCTATAACTGATTATCATGATCTAAAAAGTGAGCAGCCCGCTCGTTCAGAGTTGCTAGAAACTCGTGTCCCTTGGTATCAAAGCATACGAAACCCAGTTCATCGTGTACCTCGGCTTATTAGTTGAATATACATGACGATACCCTGCGCGGCGCGATTCCCTTTCCCAGCGAATTCTATCCATTCCTCACCGTGCACGTTGCCGGTGGGCTCCAGAAGCGGTCCGTTGTAGAGGATCAGACCCTCGTCGGTGCTGGTGGTGAGGTCAAAGCCCAGGTGGGAGGCGTTGCAGGCCGTCAGCCGCGGGAACCAGGCGTATCCGGTTCCCTCAAAGTGAATGGTGAGCCCCTCGCAGTTGGGGCCGGGGTAGCCCTCTGGACACTCACACCTACGAGACACAGCGGAGGTCTTAGAAGCCGCCCTTGCATGTACCAATAAACAAATAACGCGGTTTATTTACAAATACAAATAAGCACACATTCTAATCGATAAACCATGAGTGCCCTCGATGTTTGAAGTACGCATGGCAGCGCCAGTGATTGACCTACTTGTTTTGAGTTTCGTCCCATCTGCCGTCGTTGAGGCAGACCTCCCGTGGCATCGGTGGCTCGCACTGACCACAGGTGTACTGCAGTTGGGTCCGGACTCCTGTGGGGACAGTCACGGTCACAGTCAGTCACAGTCACAGAGTACAGGTGTCCTACAGATCGGTCCGGACTCCTAGGCGCACAGTCGCAGTCACAGTTACTGACCACAGGTGTACTGTAGCTGGGACCGCACTCCTGTGGAGACAGTACACAGTTGCAGTTACGGTCACACACAGTCACAGTTACTGACCACATGTGTACTGCAGTTGGGTCCGAACTCCTAGGAGCGTAGGCACAGCGCTCTATTCTATTTCATTTCATTCATCCTCTTCTCAAGTCACTTCCTAAAAATCATCTGTAACATGTCATTGATCTGTTTCGCCTTCCCTCTTCAGAGCATCTTGCAATGAAGCCGTTTGGGCATCCTTTCACTGCTCTGAGATGAGATATATTCAGTCTAGGAGCCCCATCCCTCTCCTAGCCGAAGGAAGGCGTTATTGGACGCCGACTGTCACAGCGTGGATATTGAGCCCAGAGTACGGCAGCTCCGTCTGTGAATAACAACCCCCCGCCCTATGTGGCTCCTACTCAAGCCCACGCGTGCCCCGATTCAGACAGACTCGCCACCGACTCGTTACCCAGAAGCCATCGCGGCATAAACGACGTAAACCGTGCTTTAGCGCAATCACCGACACATATCGCCTTCTGGGTAACCGTTAGAGTTACGGGCGATCGACACCGGCTGCCGTGATTCCAGTCGATGTCGTGTCACGGTCGGGTGATTTAGAGCCCACTGATAATGTCCGGCGAATTTAGCGCGCTGGCACCTACCGATGATACTGGAGGTGTTGGTCTGCACGCGGTACACCTCGTTGTCGAAGATCTTGAGGTGTGAATGGCAGCTGCCCCGGCAGGTGGACTCGAAGAGGCAGTCGTCGATGCCGACCTGGTCGATCTCCACCTTCAGCATCTCCTCGAGCTGGCGGGACATCATCGGCGGTGTCATCGGGACAACATCGGCAGTGTCAGCGGGATAACATCGGCATTCGGCAGTGTCATCAGGACAACGTCGGCACCGTCATCGACTGTCGTTACTCGCCCCGTCCGACGTAACGACACACAGCGGAACGTCGTGGAAATGAGCCACTGGAGAGGCTTATACTGCGCAGTGCGCAATGACTTGCCACCAACTGTTAGTAGAAAGTAATTAACAGCTTTGATTTTCCATCTTTGTTCTCTTATCACTGTCCTCTCCTCTCTTCCCATCATACTAGCCACCTCCCCCCTACCCCTCACCCACCTGTTTTTTGTTCTGCGACACGATGCCGTCCATCCTCTCTGCGCGGTAGTAGGGCGAGCCGTGGGCGGCGTACCGCACGTCCACGCCACCCGCCCCGTTGTCCTGTACCCCGAACAGGTCGACGTTCTCTGGGGCGGTGCTGAACAGGCGGGCCAGCTCGGCAATCAGACGCCGGTACATGGACGGCGTCTGCCGGAGGGCGGGTGAGAGGTCAGTGGTTCGTAAGAGCTCATAAAACATGATTATTCTGCGATAAGAGGAGAAGAAATGCAGGGGATTTCCACTTCGCAAAAGCAGGGTTAATTATGAGCTAAGCGTCTAGTTACAGAGACTTGTATTGCAGATTAGGTATACGCATAGCAAGAACAGACCCAAGTGAAATGGAACTGGCAATCCGATCAAAGAAGATGATTGTACGATTTCTACGGAAAAGATTACATCGAACGATGCCCGCGAATCGAGATCAGTGGGGACTGGATGCCTCACCATCATCGCACAAGCTCCTAGTCGACAACAGGAAAACGACGCAGACGAATATTGAATGTCATTCGCTGACTGATCCCTCCGCTATGTATTCTCACATCTGCACCTTACATAATTGGTACGAAGTCAGCCCACTCACATTTTTGTCCGGGTCTGTGATGAACCTCTCAGCAGAGACGCCGGCGAAGCGCAGCGATCCCGACTGCGTAACGGCCTCCCGCGGCAGCAGTCGTACCGTCACAGTCACATCCGCCGTCACGGTCGACTGGAACTTCTTGTCGTACACCTGAGGACACGTGACGTGACGGCGTGTGACGGGGCGGGAGGGACATGACGTCACGGCGGGGTCAGCGGGTCCGCGGTATCTGGACAGCGCGGCGGGATTAACGTCAGAGTCATTGGGCAAGTAGCCGGGCGACGCGCAGAATGAAACGTCTCGAGGTAATTTAAGCCGGTGCAGAAGTTGGACAGGAGTTGAGAGGGACACTACGTCACTGGACAGCGGGGAGTTTAAAGAACTTGTAATTACCGGAGCCAGGCGATGTAAAGACCGCCGAACCGGAGGCCGGCCAAGTAATGAGTCTGTTTGATCACGCTCGGACAAAGTTCAGATGAGTTCAGGGTGTCACAAGTCCCATGGCCGCCTTGACGTCACAGATGGCTGCGACGGCTTTAAGAATAAAGTGCACGTACCTGGAACTGGAGCGGGTAGCTGCCGTTGGGCGTGCCGTAGCGCATGGTGATGTTTCCCGTGTCTCTGTCCAGCTCAAAGTGGCGGTACTCCTGGCCAGCCAGCCACGAGAAGGTCTTGTCGGGCAGATCCCAGTCGTCCGGGTCATCCACGTACACCCGGCCCACCACCGTGTCGGGCATCTTACCCTGAGGGAGAGAAGAGGGCCATGATCGGTCAGAGGCGCACACGGTGAAAGCATTCGTCAGTGGAGCTGCGGGCTCGGCAGGCCGCGTGAGGAGTCACACGATCTCGGCTGAGCAGGGTAGAGGGCTAGGGACAAAAGATTATATCCGGGAGCCAGTGCGGACTATGGGGTGTCGATTACGCTAGCACTTGAGGCTTAGTGCGCAGGGATAAAAATAGGCGTCTGTTTTACACACTTTCACAAGCCGTTAAAAAGTATATTTCTGACACGTAACTCTTTGTTATGTCGATTATTCAGCGCAAAGATGTTTATTACTTCCACAAAGTGACGAAATACCGCTGCAACTATGAACTGCTAGCCGGCAGATCCAGTCATTCTCATTCAACGCTTGACAGAAAACAAGTCAGCTGTAACATATAAATTAACAGTTGATCGGGAGCATTTGCAGAGGGAAACAGAAAAGGCGAACTAAGTTTCAGCTTAGCAGCAAACAGACTTTAATTTACGGTGACGTGTATGATCATGCGGTTCAATAAAGTCACGCATGTGACCATTTAAATGTTCAGAATGTGCAAAGAAAGCAACAATCGGTAAATAAAATTGCGAAATCGTCATCATGTCTTAAAGTTATATCAAATAAGATAACAATAAAAGATAACCTACAAAGCTGTAAAAGAGAACAAAATGAGTGAGCGGCATAGATAGGTATCTACTACATGGAATGATCGAACTCATATGTATAAAAAGACGTTGAAATATATTTGCGGAAGCGCACCAAAAATAACCTAAATGGGTAATGGGTGATAGTTTTCTTTCCGCTCACTTATTTCCAACCCCACGCTCCGCGGCGAACGGAAAATAAGCCAACTGAGCGTGCTTAATTAACGCAATAATCGCGATTAAATCAGTAGCAATTCACGCGAACTGAACCGGAATCCACGTCCCAAATCAGGAGCGATCCATGCAGAGGAGCCGCCAGCTGTGGGGGCTCAGCAGAGCGCCTGGTGGGACGGGTCGGTCAGCGCGGGCTGGGCTGTGCTGAAAACAAGCACACGGCGCCGGCCGGCCGGCTGGTGCGCGCTGGTGCCGGTCAGTGAGGGAGTCAGACGGGAGTGGGCGGGTGCCAGTGCGGGCGGGGGCGGGGGCGGGGGCGGGGGCGGGGGCGGTACCCACTTGCCGCCGATTATAGGCATTGCCGGTCACATACTCGGCAGTCAGCCACTGCGGGTCGGTGGCCTGGCGCACAAGCGCCGCTCCCGGCTCAGCCTGGCACACGGGCTTAGGTCAGATCACGGGTCATAGGTCACGGATCACAGGTCACGGATCACAGGTCACGGATCACAGGTCACGGATCACAGGTCACGGATCACAGGTCACGGATCACAGGTCACGGATTACATGTCATGGGTCAAAGGTCACAGATTACAGGTCATGGGTCAAAGGTCACGGCTAGCGGGTCACAAGTCACGGGTCATAGGTCACTGGTGAGAGGTTAGAGGTTACATGTCGCACTCCACAGTCCACAGGCGTCCAGTGTCATCGGGATTTTCAAGCCAAGTAAGTCCAAATCAACCTTTATCAATCCCATTAATGCATTAGTGCAGGCAATCCAACCAATATCCCATCAGCAACCGCCACCAGAAGCCAGCCAGTGCCTGTACCCCGATCTTCTCAGTCTGCCAAGCCGCACCCGAGTCCACCCTCCTACCCCTGTCAAATACCACCTCACAGATCCGCCACCCACCTCGAAGTTGAAGACCTGGATGGCGCTCGAGCCGGGCCTCATGTCATTGTCGTTCTCGTCGCCGATGATAACCGTGAAGAGGCTGGTGCCGGTCAGGGCGCGCGGGTCGGCCAGCTCGTTGTCGCTCACCACCACGGGGATGGCGTACTGCTTCTGCTTCTCGCGGTCAAACTTCACCAGAGGGCGGATCTCGGCACGGTTCGCTGGTGATAGAGCGGGTGGGGGCGAATGTAAGACAGTGTGATTGAGAACTTGCTGAAAATGCAACTAAACTATGGTCGGTGGCCAGTGCTAAATGCGATGCGATGTTGCAGCTGGTAGATAATCCATCCAAGACCGGCTAAGCCTTTTAATTTTGAACTATCTCCAACCACCAACACCATCGTGGTTTACAAATTAAACGAGACCAACGGACTTCTCCCGTTGCCATAGCCGCAAAACACCACAAATCACCAAGTACCACAAGTTCCTTCATAATCATGAATCAAAACCTCACACCACTGTATCTCCACACTTAAGTCTACCAATCGAATCGCACCACAAAGCCACCCAATCTCCCGACCTACGAGCCACGAGCGGGCGGTCGGGTGTGGCGGGCTCAATCATTCAGCTCGCGTCTGAGCCGGCCCATGCGCTCATTCGTCTCGTGCATAATTTGCGCGACTACGTCACACCTGGCGGCCGTACCAGGGTAACTGTCTGGTCGGTTAGATTCGGACAGGGTCGGAGATCGCCTCAGCTGGCGGATGGGTATATAGTGAGAACGACGGGCCGCTCGTGCTAAGGCTCATGTAGAGGGGGAAAGCCTTTACAAGGCGTAGTAGTGTCCATGTGGGGGAATCATAAATTAGCTATGTATCTTAGATTCATAAACTGACCAATGCCCCTCTCTTGTAGTCCTTTGTGAGCGTCCAGTATTTTGCAAGTCACTGCCACTACCCTCAGCACCATCAGCACCATTTATCCAGTCACCATCACCACCGTCACCATCACGTACCGACAGTGGTGACGGAGAACTGGCGCCGCAGCTCGGCCGGAGCCGCCGGATCCAGGAGGAACGAGTAGGGCGGCCCGTTCCGAGTCTGGTCGTCAAAGTCCTCCGCCTCCACCGGGATGACCACGCCCTCGGGCGATTTGTTCTCCATGATTACCGGCGGGGTAGAGTTACTCTGCGGATGGTGAACACAGTCAGCGGGAGGTACTGAACACGTCGCTATTGGCAGCGCGTCAGGTGTGCGCACGGTGAACAACAGTCAGCGGACGGCACTGAACACGTCGCTATTGGCAGCGCGTCAAGTCACAGTGGGGCGCGGAAGTAAATAAACACCTCCGAAGAAGATCGATAGAGACAAACAGTGACTGAAAAGTGAGAGCGTCGATGAAGGGTTTATTAAATAACAAATACCAGACACGTCAATCTGCGAGAGCTTCTCATCGTAAGCTTTGGGTGTAAGATTGTATACGCCGGTAGTTCGACTATAAAACTCCGGGGCTAAATTGTGAATATCGAATAGTAGTGTTGCCAGTGTCAGTCCGAAACTGGAAAAGTATGCGGACATTTCATCAGCCCCTAGATGACAGCCTAAACTGGCCCGTAACTAATAATCTAACTGTGACTTATCACAGGACCATGGCTCACGGTTGGACCGTGACTCACAGTGACTCACAGGCAAACTGTGACTCACAGCAGGGCTCACAGTCAGACATTGGCTCAGATCTCAACTCACCTGGATCAGGTAAGGCGCATTGTCGTTGATATCGGTGAGCGTCAGTTTAAACGGTACCGACGAGCCCAGGCCGTTTCCGTCATCATCCCAGGCGAGAACGGAGAGGTCCCAGACCTCCCGGCCACCGGTGCCCTCGTCCCGGTCCAGGGCCTGAAACACGGCGCCAGAGGTCAGCCTGAGGCGGGGTGGGGGAGCGTATCACACCTGAGGGCATGGTCCCCGGCCAAACCCGAGATACTCGTACATAAGGTAGGAAACATGATTGTAGGCAAGACATAAGATGTTCAGGGTTAGGTTATATCAATTATTTGTCCCAGTATTAACTATTACTATTAGTTGGGCTTCGTTACGTGAAGTGAGCGGGAGTACAGGTGAGTCAAACCTGATATAAAAGAGTGGAGACCGGCCGGGTCAGTAGCGGCGGAACACCTTCAATTAAGGGGGGGGGGGGCACTGCCGACTTTTGGTCCCATTCTTTCCATGCAACGCCCATAGCGCTAATGTTAAAATGCCAAAATCAAATAGGGGCACGGTGCCGCGGTGCCCTCCCCGTTCCGCCGCCATGGGCCGGGTCTCAGTCAACATCGGCTATCCCTGCAGCACTAGACAACCACGACATATCGGCAAATCCAATAGACCGGAGACGGCGAGCCACTTCTTCCTGCACAGAAGAGCGACGGTGACAGGCTAACCATGTTTCCGAATCGAGAATCGATCCTGGTTGAGAGAGCACTTCCGTATTGGCTCCATCGACAGCCGGTGAGGCCTATTGCACTCGGCGCGATCGAGTGAGCGGACGGACCCCATCCTTTCCCGGAGCGGCCGTCCCTATTGACACACACCATCTCCCGGGACCGTCCATCTTTGTCCCTGGCCAGCCACCGGAGTGACCCGCGCGGCCGACCACTATGCGTGTGTACCGACGCTCTCTGCATCCCGCAGGGAGCTCACTCTGCCGCTTTTCTACCGCACTCCGCCCGCTTTTCTGGCGCGCGCTGCCTCCATTCCCTTCGGGCTGCATCGCGTTTTTCTCGTTACCACGAAACAGCCTGTGCCTCCCCGGTGATCTTTCTCACAGCGAAGGCCATTCCACACCACTCTGCCAGCCTCGCGCCTCGCTCCTCCCCTCTCTCTCTCCCTCTGTCTCGCTCTGGGTACCTGGAGAGGTTTCCCAGGCCCGCTGCCGTTCCTCCGATCGGACGGTAGCTATAGTGGTCGCGTCGGCCGTCCATCTATAATTCACCACAAGCCAGCTGTAATTCACCGGTCGTCTGTTTACGGCGCTGCCTGGACTGACCATTGAGAGAGAGAGGGAAGAGGGGTTGAACAGAGGGACAGTGAGTGGGAGACATCGTAGAGGATTGAAAAGAATAGATAATGCTATTTCTATGCATTCGAATAATTAAAATAAAACCATCGACAACAATGCATAAGTACCAACGAAGGTCACGGAAACATACTTAAAACCAAGATTAACCCGCGCGGGGCTGGGGTCTCCAGCCGAACGCGCGGGGCTGGGGGGGGGGGGGTAAATTTTACCCCCCCCCCCCCCTGTTATCTCCCGAACTAATGATCCGATTTGGAAAATTCAAACGCCAATCGAAAGCTCTCATCACGAACTACTAAAAACATGTACTTAATTTAAAGTTCGAGGTCAAGGTCAAGGTCAGGTCAAGGGTACAAATTGCAAGTTTCTACAGTATCGGCCTTGCACCGTAGTTGCCAAAGAATGGAGTCATGGACTGAGACTGATCGCCCAAAACGTGTTCTTAGGCTACCAAGACAATATTAGTTGCATACAATATCATTCAGAGGTCAAGGTCAAGGTCAGGTCAGGTCAGGTCAGGTCACCAAAAAACAAAATATAGAAAAGGGCATGTGCGACACATGTTTTATGGGTCATTTTACTCATAGAATTCAATAGGCACACTCAATGAGTGATATGGACCACCTCTGGATGAATTTCAGGTCGAGGTCAGGTCAAGTGAGGTCAAATTTTGAAGCTGGTTGTTAAGGCCTAAAAAGGTGTCTATCTGATGCAGTTTTTCACGGCGAATCGAATGGTGCTATTTTTGTTTCCGTACGAGGTCTAGAACTTCCAAAAAAGTCATTTTTCAAAAAATTTGTGTGTCGTGACGTCATAAAATTTTGAATAACTCCCACATTTATGAACCGATTCTTCTAAAATTTGGTATGTAGGTGCACATAGACCACTTCTCTGACATATATTCCGGTTTTTTCGATAGACTCAAAATTTTGGATTTTATAATGATTTTCCCAAAAAAATCAGTTTTTTGAAAAAATTTAGGCCAAAATCCAAAATTTTCAAAAACCCGAGATAGCCATTTGATAGACAAAGTAAAATTACGTATATCCTTTTTTGTTACGTCTTGATTCCTTTAAAAATGAAGATGTTAGCGGCGTTTGAACTTTTGCCGTTTTTGAGGCGAAAATGGCGAACATGACGTCACTAAAACGTCAATTTCTCAAAAATTTTCCGACGGATTTCGCTCAAATTTTCAGGGAAGGTGTCAAATTGATGTAAGAAAAGGTACGGAAAGTTTGGCGGCGCTGCGCGCCGCCGTTTTTGAGATATCGTAAAAATTCGCGAGGGGGGGGGGGGGTAAAATTTACCCCCCCCCAGCCCCGCGCGGGTTAATTTGAGAAATGTAGAGAACAAAGCAAATTACCTAATGCCGAATCCAGCACATTCAATAGACACAGCAGTTAGAAGCAAAAAAGGCATAAAAACAGCAATATACCAACTATCTAGGTTTAAAACGTCAATTACCTGCCTGACAAATAGACATCAGTTTGACGTTTGCGTAGATACCAAACTTCGGTATTCAATTGATATTTCTTATTGGGGCTCTAAGTAACAAAGTAATATTGGATTGGAGCAGCAGACAGCCAGTGGGCGGGTTCCGGGACGGCCGTAAAACCTCGCTGGAAAGGGGATCAGTGTCGACGTGCTCTCTAGATCGGCACAGACGAGCCATTCCGAGAGCCGCCCTCAGAACAAAGCTAACCCAGCAGTCAACACGGCTTCAGGGAACATCCAGCCAAGTGAATCGCTCTCGGTAGTCGGCCCTCCACGCCCTCTTAGAGTCTGGAGGCCGTCGTAAGCAAACTCAGCTCAGCGGCTGTAAAACACTCGACCGCGGGCTGTGTAGCACGCCCGAACTAGCACCCGAATCGCTATCCCACCCACAAATACGATCTAAACAAGCAATCTAGCCGGATCCCATATTGAGCCGCCCGAGGGGATAGAACCTCTCATAGGGCCAGAACCTCACGTGAACACCACTCATGTAGCCCACATCGACCATATGACTCCGTAACTCGGCTATGGGCTGTGAGCAAGGAGTGCTTAGAAAACCGCCTGATACCTGGCAACCCCACCACGTATCTTGACAACAGTCACCCAGCCAGGGTGACATACTGTCTCCAGTACACCATTTGATGCTAAGAGATCGGACCTAGCACAGCAGACGGTTCCATTAGCCCGGACTTTCATCGTGCAGATAAAAGGTTAGACACACAGCCTTAGGTTAAACGCTCTTACAGGTAGGACGAGATAATCCATCCTTGCATTGCAGTTTAACAATAAATGAAATGAAATGGAGCGACGCTCTCTGATGCATATGACAATTCAATAAGAAATGCACTAGGAGCCAAGAATAAAACTATACTAACTAGATTCAAATGTGCATTATCAACCTCCTTTATACAGCGCAGCTCGTCATGTGCGTTTTCCTTCGGAATGCTTTTACAAATGCCTGTGTACGCTTTTCAGTGGAAAAGGCGTGGAGGAGAGAGAGAGAGGAGAGAGAGAGAGAGAGAGAGAGAGAGAGAGAGAGAGAGAGAGAGAGAGAGACAGACAGACAGACAGAGACAGAGAGAGAGACAGAGAGAGAGACAGAGAGACAGAGAGACAGAGAGACAGACAGACAGAGAGACAGAGAGACAGAGAGACAGAGAGACAGAGAGACAGAGAGACAAAGAGACAAAGAGACAAAGAGACAAAGAGACAAAGAGACAAAGAGACAAAGAGACAAAGAGACAGAGACGCAGAGGCAGAGGCAGCCGGCCGCCCGGATGAGTCGCGGTTGTGCGCTGTTACGCCGAGCGGTGAGCGCGGGTCACCCGTGGGCGGCCGGCCGGTGGCCAGCTGACCGCTCTCACAGAATCAATCAGTGGCTCTGAGCCGGCTGCCGACACCCGTCCCAGAGCGAGCCTCCCATACAGCGCCGGCGGGGACGCACCTTGAGGACGACCACCTCGCCGCGACTGTTGATACTGAACACGTCATCCTCCGGCCGGTTCGGGTAAATTCCCGGCCCAGAGAGCTTGTAGACGATGGCCGCTCTGCCCACCGGGTCGGGGTCGATCGCCGTCACCTGGAACGGGCGGGTCACGGCAGGTCATTCTGGGGTCACTATTAGGGAAGGGATTTGCTGGCGGAGGAGTAAAATTACTCTGCAAAAAAAAAGCTTAAGAGGGAGAGGGTGGTAGGTTAAAGTGTTGCTCTCTGTCACGTCTACACGGCGAAACTTTTGGCTTGCATTTCGCAGATTTCATTTCGTGAGTTCTTCGTTTCGGTTCGTTCTCAGAGGTCGTGCTGGTCTAAGTTGGGCGTATATCGCGCCGGCGACAGGCGGTAAACGTCGAGTGAGCCGGCTTTCGAGCTCGTACGTTCCCCGGCGGACAATATTAGTCGCCAACTGGAGAAGTGGACCGCCGCCGGCCCGGCGGCCACACCAGCCGACTGTAACGGCCCATCGTCACCAGAACTGCACTGGATCGGCATGGATTAACACTCAATCGCAGACCGCTCGAGCGATATAGCACACGTTAGCTCTTTTATAGATGTGATTTATCGGCATGTTCACCGATTTAACTCGATTTAACTAAGGACGTCAGCCATTTGACGCGACACATTCACAGCGGTTGGTATGCCCGCGTTGCCCGACAGCGGCACACCATATCGCACAACGCGTCACGCGTGAGGACCACGCGTTATACTGCCCGCACCTGCATTCCTGAGTGCATGTGTGTACCCCGATTGATTCCACATGGACTCTGGCAGCCACAATCGATGGTAGACCCCACTACAAGGCCCGGGCGGAGTGGCCCGCGCCATTTGAGGCGGTTTTATTACTGCTCCAAGCCGCAGCTCAGGCCACAATGGGACATCCCACTCCCTGCTAAACGTAACTATGTGTGTGGGTTAACGGGTCACACACTCGGCCGTACACTTAACGGTCTGGGGAAAGACACACTCGTGTGTCTCTCCCCAGTCACCACCGTGTCCTCTATACATTGCCAGCGTCGGAGGGCTCACCGCCGGACCGCAGTCCAGTGTCACCGGATTCTGCACAGGTACGCTCGGACAGAGCCGGCGCCCACTGACGGCCAGTGTAGGACCCTGGCCATGCCGGTGGACGGTAACTCAGCCGGGCGACTCATTACAGCGCCCTCGGCGGCTAATTAAGGCCGCACGCCGCCCACCGGAACACATCGGAAGTGGGAACACACCGGGCCGTTTACCGAGGGCCGTCAACAGCCGCGTGACACGCCGACTCGCCAGCGGGGGGAGGGGGGGGGGCGACGACAGCAGGGAGACGGGGACGTATTACTGGGCACGGCGCAGCTGCCACACGGACCCAGCCGGATGGCACGGAGACGATATAGTGCCGCTCTGACATTTTGCAGCCCAGGCGCGCCCTCTCAGCCTTTAACTAAATGAATCGATCCTTCTTGGGAGCACTTCATTCAGCACTGCAGTGCTTGTGCGCTCCAACTTTTAACCGTACATAATCAACCATTAGAATGAATAAAAACAAATTATGCTTTGACAAGTGATTAAAGCAGAGTAATTCATAGTTATTGATTTCTATGTGGCGGTTTTAACACAGCAATTATCTAAAACAAAATTAAAAACTAATCTTCGAAAGACATCGGACATCACTATGTCAATACCGATCAATAGACAATAACGGTCCTCTTTATTTCAGCATTTCACAGCACAGGGAGAAGCTAATCAATATATACGCTATTATTTTCTCCAATAATGCTTGAATACGTCCTTTTATATATGCATCATCTTACGAGCAATATATATTATAAGCACGTATTAGATTCAATTCATATGAGAGGCAGCGATGAAATGACTCCGAGTGTCTGAGCCAGACAATTCAATGAGCCACATCTAACGAAACAAGCTGATGAGTTGGCGTTCAAAAGTCAACACCTCGACACAACTCCCACCTGCCCTGACGGCTGGCTCTGCAGCTCACCTTGATAATGGGCTCTGGCGAGATGTAGCCCTCGCGCAGCTGCAGCTCGTAGCCGGGCTGATCGAACACGGGCGCCACATCGTTAACGTTCATTACCTCGATCAGCACCGTCTGGGTGGCCTCGAACTTGCCGTCAGACGCCGTCACGGTGATGGAGTACTGCCGGGGCACGGAGGACGGCACGGGGAGGTCAGACAGGTGCGCAGTCAGGTCACGGAGGACGGCACGGGGAGGTCAAAGAGGTGTGCGGTGGGGGCGCGGGGCGACGGCACGGGGAGGTCAGACAGCAGCCCGCGGGCGCACGATGAGGTCAGGGAAGACGGTACGGGATGGTTAGGCAGGCGCACGCTGGAACTGGGGTCATGGAAGACGGCTCGGCTGAGATAGATCGCCGCGGTAATAGATTCACCGCGAGGGATCGATGAGAGCGGTGGAACAGCGGAGTAAAAGGTACAGCCCACCGCTAAAGTAATGTAGGGTTTTACCAATCTCAACGGTTGGCTTTGACTGGCGATTGTTTAATGCGGAGTGATCGAAAAGAAGATGTCAATAGCTAAAGTTGCAGCTGCAAGGGTGACGATACATAGGGGAGACCGGGGAGAAGTGGGACATTATTTTGACGTCAACTTCGAAAAATCGTAAAAAATAGAATATTTAAGATTTAAGTAAATTGATTGCATTTACTGGTAAACGGTTCATTTCTACTTCATTCGTTACTGTTTTTATGCGTGTTTGTTCACGTGTTACTTCTCAAATTTAATTTTTAGGAAAGGTTGACAATGGGGTGAACTAGGACACGTCCAGGAGAAGTGGGACAAATGATGGGGAGAACTGGGACTGATTAAGAAATGTGATTTAAATGGAATACAATTAAAATTTGATGACCCATCACGAAGAAAAAGGTGTTTTAAAAATTGACACTAAAAGAAATCACCTCGATTGCCTTTTTTGAACTGCACTGACAGCACTGAGTATCCTGGAAAATTGTCCCATGCATTTGCATGCGGGAGAACTGGGACAAGGTTTAGGCACGTTGTCCCAGTTCTCCCCAAGTCGACATTTTTATTTCAACTGCTCTCCCACACAAAAAGTATAACAGATACATAAAAAAATGTTTCTGCATAATTAAAATGACTTCACTGATATTCGAAGTTAAACGGCCTGAACATTTCACATCGCTGAATAAACGGCAAATTGAATTAGAGTACAATGCCAAAAATACGTATTTTAGACCCCAACTCAATATCTCAGAGACAGGCAACCGGAAAAGTAAACCGCTTGGTTTTGACGTGCCCCGACTAAATTCATGAGAAAATATGCAAAAACAAAATTGTTTGTCCAATCGGTCACCCAGATATTGAAGGTGTCCCACTTCTCCCGCGTCCCAGTTATCCCCACTCTCCCCTATAAGCTACATTCAAAGTTTCACTGTAGTCTGGCTAATCGTTCCTAAGCTTCAGAAGCAGAACATACCCATGACTGAAACCCCACATTACTTCTGCTGTGGACTGTACGATGTATGTATTTACTACTCGGGTCACTTGACATGCTGCCGTTAGATGTCACACGGTTCACTGGCCACAAGTAAATGGTACTGTCCCTGCCAGTTACATTGCAGGGCGTTGTTCATAGAATTGTGTTGGCTGAACGTGATCGGCGGGATTTCCTTAGCCACCTCTAAGAACCTCCGGCAGCCGGGGTGATAAAGGTCACGAAACACGGAACAAGAATTCGTGATGTTATTATCAAAGAGCCGTGAGGTCAAGGGTCACGGGGTTATGCGGTCACGGGCCACGCGCCAAGGAGTCGTGCTACCAGATACGTACTGTAAGGATGTAAAACAGAACTAGCTGCTTGGTTTCAAACAACCATGCCTACATCAATATTATCGGCAATCCCAGTCACATACGTCAGGACAGAGTGCAGATGGCGGTTGACGTTTCTCTTTCACACCGTAACCCGAACTGCAGACACCACTGCTCAGTCAGGGAGAGCTCCCACACTCGGTCAGCAAGCCACACACACCGCCTCCCGAGCGGCCCCGAATCACGATCCACACCGTTCCCCGGGCCCCATCCCACCAGAGCGACCGCAGTGCAGTTCGCACGGCCCAGTCCCGAGCGGCGGCCGCTGCCGCGTGCCACGTACGTTTCTCACGTTCTCGTAGTCGAGTTTGTTTTTGACCTTGACGGTGCCGGTGTCTGGGTCAATGTCGAACACGGCCCCATAATTGCCGGCGGTGATCTGGTATTTGATTCGCGAGTCTGCCGGAATGAGGGACGGTCGTCAGTCAGCGACAAACAAGCAATCTTACCAGAGTGACATACTTCAACCTTCGGAATGAACAAAACTGTACACACACCCGATTCGGATATACAGAAACACGCCATCCAAAGGTATCGTTTCATTTCACCATTTCGTACCAGTGCACATTAAACAGAGTACACATTACATATAACGCATTGCACAATAATGACGAATGCCCGTTAAAACTGTACTAGCTCGGTTCCGAAGTTACACGAGAATGCAGCATGCAAAACACCGAATGAAATTGTAGGCGGGCAATAAATACGAATTGACACGCTCCTGTGATTGCTGTATTTCATGATTGCCACGGTACAGGCGTCATAACGATGTTATTAGCGTAATCGGTGTGCTATGTCCCTAAAACGACAACGCGTCACGCTAGGATTAAACAAGGACCGTGATAGGATGTTCCATAGGCGTCAACTAAACCCAATGGAATAACGTTATCAAAGACACAAATAGGTTTGAAACACACGACACCACAAACACCAGGACATTTCATCGCCGTTAACCCATCCTGTCAGCCATGTTATCTCGCCATCTGTCAGCCATCTGCTCGCCAGGTCAGAACGATATGTAGCGCGGAGTGTGTATGTATATGATGCTCCAGCGGCTAGTCTCTGCAGTTCTGCGTCAACCCACTGGATCCCTGTTTCTGCCTGTGCTCCCAGAACTGTCCATCGACATTGAGAAGGCGGTCCCTACACGGGCGGGTTGACAGGGTACCGGTCTCCGACTGGTTTAGACTCAGCTGAAATATGCCAGGAACTGGCAACCGAGCTTCCGTTGCCAACTCTTGATCATAGAGTCCCAATCCCAGCATTGTTGAATATGTTGAGCTCAAGACTTCCTAGGCCATATATGTCATATAGGTATGTCACTTCCTGGGCCGTTTTAGGCCGGATTGTTAAATTTGATTGGAATGAATACCTATTTAAATTGGCGATTAGTAAAAGATCGTTAAATAATGCAATGTGCTTAATATGGCACACCAAACACAATCAAGTGGAACAAATGGCCTACACTAACAGAAAGATGAACCATGAAGCATTTGTATGCTTTAGTACTTTTCAAAAGTATATTTGTCTTGCATTAACTTTGCACAAGTTTGGTCAGGAAACATATAGGGATAATACATGAATTGTACAAGTGCGTCAACATTCCCATAATAATTCAGGCAGCCCGCAGGCATGCACGTACTATGCTGAAAACGGCTCTCCACTACACCGCAAGTAATTAAAGTTCATGAGGTAACTGAAAATCTGGCGCAAAGACCAGTAAAATTATGTGGTGATGGGCCCGGTTGGCCAGGAAAGCGAACCGAAGGTAGAATGGTTGACAGCCCATGACAGGTTGACTAAAGCTTGACTGGGTGGCGAGTGAAATGTTGAAATACGATATAAAATAATCAGCTATCCTTAGCTTCAAGCATCTCTGTGAGCCTGCATCGTCATATATGAACGTCACGTCTTCCCTCCGGTGTCAAATGTTAAACTTACCAACGCCGATGTTCAGGGCGATGACGCCAAATCTACCGCCATGCATGTCCCGTCGTGACGTCACACTTGCCGTTATGCATGTCCGCTGTGACGTCACACTTACCGTCGTCGATATCCTTGGCGGTGACGTCAATCACTTTGGCGCCGACATCGGCGTTCTCGTCGACCGAGGCGCGGTAGATGCCATTGGTGTCGAAGTACGGGCCGTTGTCGTTCTCGTCGCCGATTTCGATCGTCACCCGCTGTTTGGCTGCGTGACGGCAGGGGAGCGGAGGGGAGGGGTGAGGTCATTCACCAGAAGAGGCTATTATAGTGAGGGAGCGATGGAACTTTTCTGAACAAACATCATAAAATAGACGCCCTCTATTTGAAAGAAGCGCGATCAAAGACTGTTTACGCAGTAGTGAAGCACTCCGCAAACACATCAGTACCTCCACTGCAAACAATCCTATAACAAAAGTGTTCCTTGGGGAATGGAATTGAATGACGTAGTACACATTTTCCAAGCATCCCGATTCATGATAAACAGTCCAGTGACATAAGATATGTCCCAAAATGGAATTGAAATGAAAAGGCTCGTTAAATATTGATCAATCGGCAACATTCCGCGGGCTCCGGCCGTGTGAAATATTCACCGACAGCAAAGCGACGTCCAGACCGCAATTCAAAAATAGTGGACTACGTCAAATGTTGACGCACATGTTGACCGCTTACGTAAGACATAATTGCCGTGGTTCACTCCTAATAGCACCCTAAGTTATGGAGCGATATCACGCCCCAACAAAGCAGTCAGCCCAAGCATTGGTCAGATACTCGCAGCCACGACAAACCAATGAAAGTGACAGTGCTAAAAATGAAGTCTAGCCTGTTGTGTCATATGTGTCACCGTTGGTAGATTAGGATGGATAACGGATATTTTTTCCAGAGCCTTTTGGGTGCTATTCCATGTTTTAAGGTACAGTGTATTATTTAGTGCTGATAACAGTTTGTGTTTCAAAGTCACAGTCTCTATAGAGACATCATCACCTCTGACAAAACACCATATACAGCCTAACTCTGCGTGTCCGCTGCCTGGCTCCGAGTGTCCGCCGCTTACCCCTAGCCACTGTCTCACTTCGTTTATACGATGCCTACAGCCCAGGACAAAATGTCCGCTGCCTTCTGCCTACCCTGGTTGGGCTCGGAGGTCTGCCGGATGTCCGAGGGCGCTCCATCCTTGGCGATGACCACGATGGTGTAGAACGGTGAGTCCCGGGAGCGGTCCTCGCGGTCGAACCGGATCCGAGTCGAGATCTTGCCGGTGATGGAGTCGATGCTGAACATGCGGTCCTCCTCCGAGCCCGGAGCGAAGCTGTAGAACACCTGGGAGGGCCAGCGGGCCGGTGAGACAGCGTCGGGGACGAAAGGACACGGGACAGGACGGTTCTGCGACACTTGAGCGAACGTCATTTCAGCGAACGACATTTGAGCGAAACATTTTCAGCGATTATCAATTTAAGCGATTGGCTTTTTCAACGATTGTCAAGTCGGCGAATTCAATCACAGCGATTATCAACTTTAGCGAGGACCAGAATCAGCGAAACCAGATTGAGCGAACATATGGTGGTCAGTGGGAGACCAGTTGAGCGATGCAGTTACAGCGAATGACCGAACGTGACGAAAGTCAATCATTTGCTACTTTTCGGAAATTATTGCACCTCTTTACGTATCATTTGAATTTTGAAGAAACATATGTACATCGGATGACCAACAAGGGGTGCATGGGAGGGGAAGGAGGCGGGCAAAATTTGAATTGAAAATGTGGAACGTGAGAGATAGGGCGACGGAAGGAATGCCAAGGACCAATAACAAACTAGAGAGATGGCACAGGGGAATCCAGTCTATGTTTCAGGGACCTTACCCAAATATCTGGAAATTCGTACGGCGCTTGGGGCAAGAACAAATTTTACAACATGGGGAACTGATCCAACTTCAAGCGGGGCAATTTCGCGAAAAAAAGCACAAGCAATATTGATCTCTGAACAAACGTTTGGTCACCATTATTGACAAAGATCAGGGTGGGTTAGGGGGGGGGGTGAAATTGAACCGTTGGAATTTTTGACAAATGTAGCATTAAAATTGGAGCTCAATGCCTGACCTTTGAACGCGCGACATCCGCCATCCAGTACCGGATAACCATGAGAAATTCCGGAAACATTCGTACGCATACGCTCGCAAAAGAAAAAAATCCACCGTTACAGGACGATGAAATGTTTCGCTGAACTGACAGTCGCTCAAATTGTAGTCGACGAAATATATGTCGCTGAAACATAGCTTTCGCTAAAATTGATAATCGCTATATTTGATAATCGATGAACTTGATAATCGCTGAATTGCCATTCGCTGAAAATGGTTCGCTCAAATGACGTTCGCTCAAATGACACTCGCTAAAGTCGCTCGCACCGGGACAGGACGATATGTGGGAGGCGGGAGCCGGAGCGATTATGCTTTATGCACCGGATCAATAAAATAATAATAATTAGTATTTTCTCAGGTAGCAATCCCCCAAGAAGTTAACTTCCACAACGTGACGGTTTAGAGTGCGACTTGATCACATCAGAACAAATCTGCCTGTGTGCGATCTACCAAACGCTGGTTGCACGACAATTATTGTGACTGCCGAATGGTAAGCACATTGCCTAATAATATCGGACAATAAACATGGACAATGATCATGGGACATGGATATTGGATATAAATGATATATTCCCAATCATAATAACCATTTGTGTCACAGGTAAAAAAGTAATAACAATGGTCACCGGTCGCGTAGAGCCAATCTACATACATACATAAGGTAATAATCAATAGAGGATAGAGGAGCTTCTGGCGGCGTGCATATGTTTGCCGAAACAACACTATTCATCAGTGTATTCAGGCAGACACTCACCACTTGATGGGACACCGGGACGCTCAATAAGCGTCGGGCTCAACCGGATCTGGCATCCGTTATAGCATTAACCGACACATCATAAACAACTCACGTAGCACGGTGATGATTGCTGGCAGACACGAGGCCACCAAATTTATGGTGATACGCCCCCGCTGAGACACAAAAGGCTTTGTTGACCGGCCCACAATAGAGCGGGGAGCTGTAACCAGCCGTTCGCCACGAAACCGTCCGAACTTCAATCAAGAAACCAAATATTGGTGGGTGGGTGGATTTATCGATCACAGGATTACAGCGACAGTGATACAGACAGCTGTCTAAACAGCTACTGACCATAAACTACAGTAGTGTTATCACATATGACATAGGATCATGCAAATGTCCCTCATCATATTCCGCAATGCCCTATACTGAGCTAACAACCTGACTTAAAAACGTCGTATCGATTACAGCAAATAAACCTCGCAGGTAGGTTGCTACTTGCTACCACACCAATGGTTACCTGACCAGGGGGCGCCTGTTCACTCTCGCCCCTCGGAGACCCAGCCTAACCTTGTTGTTGGGCGGCGTTCCGTCGGCGTCGACGGCCGTGGTGACGGTGACGTAGGTGCCCGGCGGCGAGTTCTCCGTCACCGTCACCCGGTCCGTGTCGTAGAAAATGGGTACCTCGTCGTTACGGTCCTCCAGCGCCACCCGGAACGTCACCTCGGCGCCCGTCTGCTGCTCCGTCTGCCGGCAGAGGTCACACAGGTCACTCAGTGGCCAGAGAGGGGTCATACAGAGGTCACACAGGGGTCATACAGAGGTCACACAGAGGTCAGGGGTCACTCAGTGGCCAGAGAGGGGTCATACAGAGGTCACACAGATGTCAGAGGTCACATGGGGGCCAGAGGTTACATAGGGGTCACCCAGAGGTCACACATTGGTCACTCAGTAGTCACACAGAGGTCACAGAGGTCGCAGAGGGGTCAGAGGTTAACCCCGCCAGGTGATCACTTCTCGCTCGCATAGGTACGTGTGTCGGCATCGACATCGCCCGGTGTGGCGTTCCGACGAGTAAAAAACGTCCCTGACGTTCTGCGGGGGTCACGGCCGGTCACGGAAGGTCATTACAGATCGCTCCCCGGGCGCTGTGGCATGTCGCCGTCCGCCGGGGTAAGTTGGACACGTGTCGGGTGACGGGACGCCGCTGACGACGCGGCGCGATGGTGTCGGACGATGGAAAGGTGGCACCTGGACTGTCCGCCAGTCCGCGGGAGGATACGGGTGGATACGAACGGACCCGGACGGACCCGGAGCACAGGCGGATACCAACGAGCATGGGAGGACACAGACTAATCAGGACGAAATCGGAGAGGCACAGACGGGCATGGAACAGACGTAAACGGACGAACATCCATGGGATGCAAGACGACTACGAACGCGGTGGCGACATGAATAAGGCTAGAGGCTAGATGTAAGACTGTTTAGGTCACTTATTTCGATTTAACATAGTGTCCTTAATGGAAGCAGCCATGATGGTCCGACGGTTATGGATTAGCGTGGATGTTGAGCGGAGTTAATTTCACGCTGTGAATTATACCCATAGCCACCGGAACTGAAGACAAATAGGCACTTTAATGGAAATTATAGCAAAGGTTATGCAGCACTAATTATGTCGTGATTAATACAGCCACGGTGGAAGGAAGGTGTTAGCGCAGTGGATTTCATAGCACAGTCCGCCCACGCATTCATATCCATTTTCTTTTTCGTCTGTTCCCTCCCACGCTGACTTCAAGACGGGTCTGGAACAATTCATTTAGGGCGTCTGATGTCGTACTATTGGCAGGCGGAGGCTGCTCCTGAGAGGATATTCCGCACGCCTGGCGCGCTGAAATTGCCACCTTCGGGCGACTTGACCGGGCCGCCGGCGGCCGCTGTCATGACAGAACTTGCCGCCGGGAGAGCCGATAGTTTGAAGACTCCCAGAAGTAATGGGTCGTCTCGGAGCGCAGTGGGTCGGCGGGACCGCGGACATCATGTCAGGGATGGGGATAGGACTTTGTGCACGGGGAAATGCAGTGCGGCAGAGACATCTCGTGTAACCTAGGGCACAAGCCAAAGAGAGGGTTTTGGATAAGGATTTCACGCAGCTGGTTTGAAATGATGCTGCTTTGGAGTGGAGTGTCTTGCTTGAACCGTGTTCACTGGGGCTGCGACAGGCACCGATGCAAGTTAACACCTGTACTTCGCTGCTGCTGGTATTTGTTAGCGGGATAATGCCACCACGGCTTTTATATCTAAGCAGAACACGGAAAATAATGCGTCGCATCGTTTTTCCTTATGCAGAAATTGTCCCAATATATTTTTGCCAGTTGACTGCACTGCCATGCTGCGGAGAAGTTGAAGCGGGTCCAGTGATAGCTAACATCTCCTTGCATTATTTCAACTCTGGGGAACGCTAAATTCTTGAGTTCGTATTCTCTAGCTTGCATCCAGTTGCATGTTTCAGAACGGTCATCAAATCAGCTGAATCCTACAAGTAAGGACCAGAAAACTACAGCTGCCGTTGCATGTAACACGGAAACAACTCAGCTTCTGGGAATTTACAAAAGTAAGTCACAAATTCTGATTGATTGCGGATCGGGCAGCAGCAGGCCGCGCGATGTCAATCTATGATCAACGACCAGCGCAGTGGCATACACCGGACCGGCGCCGCGGCCGACCAACTTTGATCGCCATTAATATGCATCGAGCGGCGAGCGGACGGCCAACTTCCCGAGCGCGCAATTAATTGTTGGCCGATCACCGGCCGGCGGCAACAACAGCCATCGCGCGCCCGCGGCCAAGTTGCCGGCGGCCGAATAGTCGGCCCTATCGCCAATACCGGGGACCGTGCCGGTGCCCCGCGACCCGCGGCTCACCATCCACACTCATCATAGCGCGCACCGACCCGCTGCTCACGGAGAACCATCCACACTCACCATAGCGCGCACCGACCCGCGGCTCACGGAGAACCATCCACACTCACCATTGCGCGCACGGTCAGCGTGTACTCTTTGATCTTCTCGTAGTCGAGCGGACGGCTGCCGCCGTACTTGATGATGGCCCCGCCGGCGCCGTCGTCATCGATGACGAACGTCCGGAACTTGTTGGCCTGCTCCTGGGAGCCATGCACGATGTCGTAGTAGACGTTGGGGTTGGTGGGTGAGCTGGACCTGCAAGAACGTACACAGAGCGGTCAGAAACGGGAGTGGTAGAGAGCGGTGAGAACAAGACGTCATCAGGCGGTTGCTGACACTTTGGCTGGGATAAATATATACCTAATACGACGCGAAGCCGTTGACATATTTAAATGATTCGCACTGGAGTAACTTCGTGGCGCAGTATGATCCTTCAGTCATGCAGTTCGCACGTTATACCGACTGCTTTTAATAACGCATTGCCGGCGCCGTGTGGTGCTTGCAGCGGCACGTAACCTACACTATACATAAATGAAGACGCGCTCACACCGAGCCCGAAGGAGCACTCAATAAAACGCGTCTGTTGTGGCAAAAACATCGGCCTCACACTTCATAAAGGCTTCAGACGACTACACACGACAGTAAACACCTCGCACTAATTGCATGACTCAATAAATCAGTCGAAACACATAGCCGACACCACAGGCCTTAACCCGCGAGTTGCTGGGGGGGGGGGGGGGGGGCGTTAAACGCCCCCACTTTTTTCGCCGGGCCATAGCATAAAAACGGCGCACCGCAGGCGCGCCAAATTTTGGGTACCTGTAGGGAATTGATTGAAGTTTATTGTCACAGAGTTTCAAAAACATCGGTCGGAAAAATTTTGAGATATCGAGGTTTTAGTGACGTCATGATTTCTGAGTTTTCGACCAAAAACGGCATATGTTCAAAAAATCATATAAAATCACAGAATAGACATACAGACATGCCGTAAACGCCATTAGACTGCCAACACCATGAACAATCAAATGGCTATCTTCGATTATTGATTATCTTTCCGCATTTTCCAAATTCTTGAACTGAAACTTGGCAATTTCTCGTGACTACTTGGCGACCATGATACATGCATTTCTTAAATTTAGACATTGTTCATTGAACCGTAGTGCGAATTCTGCTTTTATGAGCTTCCGATTTGTGTGTTCGTATTTTCGGATCGTTTTCTTGAGAGATGTTGATAATTGTCCGATTATATTGGCAAAGGTTTCAGACATAACATGTTACAAAATTAAATTCCTTAAGCTTTCGAAGACATCTACATCTTCATGATCACAAGGTTAAATTGTAAAAGCACAGAGCCTAAGTTTGCTATTAGAATGGAAGGGAGAAAAACTAAATACATATTGTGCGTGATAAATTGCTAAGGCCTCTTGCAGTCGTCACATTCAGTAAACACACTAACTAATATACCTACATCGTTCCACACTTGGATGCATGACACATGACACATTTTGGTAATATGACACCCTTCTATGCACAGATACATAGATACCCTAAACGTCATATAGCCCTCCTAAATCCGATATCACTAATACCCATCGCATTGTTCAGCTCCAAAGCGTGAGTGTCGTGCACCCCGACTTGTAGAGCTGCTTGTTGATGTGAGGCGAGTACTCACGGATGTACAGCGCCTCCAACACCCACAGTCTTCGCTGGTCATGGGTAGAGCACAGTATTTCGGTATTGTCCACCAAAATTTGTCGTGTGATGTCCTTGTCATGTTCTTTGTGCATGTGATTCTTCAGTGCGCCTTGTTGTTTATGCATTGTAAGTCGTCTGGACAGGGATGTGGTAGTCGCGCCAATGTATTTATCTTTGTAAGCTAAATACAGTCCCAGCCCAGCCCCATACAGTCTGAAGTCCACTGAAGAATTTCTCGACATCCTGCGTGGTCGCAAGCTGCAAGGCTCGCTGGCTTCGCTAGATGTAGAGAGTTTGTTTACCAACGTGCCTGTTCTGGAGACAATCGATATCATCCTCGATGTCGTCTACAGTGGGACGACTCTGCCACCGCTGAAGCTATCGAAGAGCATACTGAAGAAGTTGCTCTTGATGTGCACCACCGAGGCAGCGTTCAGGGGACCTGACGGCAAGCTGTATAGTCAGAAGGACGGCATAGCCATGGGGTCGCCGCTCGGACCATTGTTCGCGAACTTTTACATGGCCCGTCTCGAGAACACTGTGCTACAGGACATGGACGGACCACCAGAGCTGTACGCTCGATACGTAGACGACATATTCGTCTGCGTCCGTGATGAGGAGCATCTGAAGACGCTGAAGACGGCATTCGAAGAGGCTTCCGTCTTAAGGTTCACCTACGAGGTCGGCGGCAACAAGATTGCATTCCTCGACACCATGGTCGAGAAGCTGGATGACGGCATGTGCAGTACCTCGGTCTACAGGAAGACAACGGACGAAGGACATTGTCTCAGCGCTCAGAGCGAGTGCCCTGAGCGGTACAAGCTGAGTGTGATCAAGGCATTTGTCAGGCGGGCTGTTAACAACAGTTCATCTTGGCAACATGTCCATGCAGAGCTCACCAGATCTCGTCAAATCCTCGTCAACAATGGATACAGCAATCACCTCGTCGATAATGAAATCAAAAGACAACTTGATGCCTGCCATCAGAGGAGCGAGAAAGGTGAGCAGAGTGAGCAGCAAGAGTGCGAGGAAAGTGGACAGAAGAACGATGAGAAAAGTCAAGACAAAACGGAGAAAACGGAGAAAATCAAACTGTTCTACCGCAGTCAAATGAACACAGCCTACAAAACGGAAGAGAGGGTCATCCGAGATCTCATCTTGACTAACGTCAAGCCGACAGACCAGGCGAAGAAAGTGACACTCATCATATATTACAACACGAGGAAAACCGCAGATCTCGTCATGGTCAACAACATGTTCAAGAAGAAGACACGAGACAAGGACAACAGACACTTACAGCAAGCCAATGTAATTTATCAATTCAGTTGCCCCGAAGAAGGTTGTAGACTTCTCAACAAAGATAAATACATTGGCGCGACTACCACATCCCTGTCCAGACGACTTACAATGCATAAACAACAAGGCGCACTGAAGAATCACATGCACAAAGAACATGACAAGGACATCACACGACAAATTTTGGTGGACAATACCGAAATACTGTGCTCTACCCATGACCAGCGAAGACTGTGGGTGTTGGAGGCGCTGTACATCCGTGAGTACTCGCCTCACATCAACAAGCAGCTCTACAAGTCGGGGTGCACGACACTCACGCTTTGGAGCTGAACAATGCGATGGGTATTAGTGATATCGGATTTAGGAGGGCTATATGACGTTTAGGGTATCTATGTATCTGTGCATAGAAGGGTGTCATATTACCAAAATGTGTCATGTGTCATGCATCCAAGTGTGGAACGATGTAGGTATATTAGTTAGTGTGTTTACTGAATGTGACGACTGCAAGAGGCCTTAGCAATTTATCACGCACAATATGTATTTAGTTTTTCTCCCTTCCATTCTAATAGCAAACTTAGGCTCTGTGCTTTTACAATTTAACCTTGTGATCATGAAGATGTAGATGTCTTCGAAAGCTTAAGGAATTTAATTTTGTAACATGTTATGTCTGAAACCTTTGCCAATATAATCGGACAATTATCAACATCTCTCAAGAAAACGATCCGAAAATACGAACACACAAATCGGAAGCTCATAAAAGCAGAATTCGCACTACGGTTCAATGAACAATGTCTAAATGAAGATACTCTGCCTATCTACACAAGCATTTCTTAAATTGAACTTTTTGAGCCAAACACGTACACATATGATAAAATGAATGTCACCATCGTGTTCTACGCCCCAAATTACCCATAAAACATGTGTCACGGGCTGCGAATATCAGTTTTGATTTTCGGGGATATGTGCCTACCCGGTTGACCTGACCTTGACCCTGACCTATGCTTGACTGATCCCTACATGGAGCTGACACTCTTGTAGGCCTTATATGATGAATTGTGCACCGTTTTGACAGAGTTTATGACGAGAGGCGCCCATTGCGAAGTCCTGAAGTCCATGCTACTGAAAGCTCGATTTCAGGTGTTTGACCCGACCTTGACCCGACCTGTGACTTCAAAATTCAACTTTAAAGTACTCATCTGAAGCGTCTCGTCGCGTTCTTTCGTTTGCCGCCTCGTGCGTTTCGCTGCGCCTATTGGTTCTCGAGTTATCGGCTGGGGGCGTTTAACGCCCCCCCCCCCCCCCAGCAAACGGTGGGTGGCGAAATACCCCAGCAACTGCCGGGTTAAATTCCAGACCACAGCTCAGCAGTCAGTACCTCCATCCACCGCACGTAAAACGGTGCACCTTAGACTTTCCACCGCCATTGAAGCGTATCCATCCAACTGAGTGAGTATACACACATGAACTGTTACTGCGAAGGACGGCGGACCACTCACACTGCGCGGAGTCGGGCGATCGGCGTCTCGGTGTCTCGGTAGTTCTCCGGCAGGTAGTAGGTGTCGTTAGGCAGCACGGTAAACGTCGGGGGACGCGTGTTCGAGTCCTTGACGGTGATGATGACGGGCGCTGACGCTGACCGCGGCACGGTGCCCCTGTCCCGAGCGATCGCCCGCAGCTGGAACTCGTAGTCAATCGCGATCTGTGGAAACAAACTCAGTGTCAGGACAAACCCGGGCGTGATTCGGACGCTGGTAAACGGCACAAGGTAGGTACAAAAGAACTTATTGTATAGTAAGCTTTGTTTTCAGAGGACATGATTAGAAAATAAGAGGGCATGAGGGAGCTAAAAGTTGTAGGTAAGTATACATAGCTCTTGTACTGACATCTGATGAGACGCCTATCTCGGCGGGGCACGGGATTTATGAGAAACCAACTTACTGCACTCTAATTAAGCGTTTCAAACTCATTAAAGATACTCTGGAAACACCACGCAATATTTAAGCATTTCAAAAGTTGAGACGAATTCGCCTTCGTCCTTAATCTTGTATGCAGATTAGAGGTAGTTCAAAGGAAAATATTTCATTCAGCAGCAGTTGTTATACTAACTTCTACAGTCTACACCAACATCAAAACTTATGAAATCATATGATATGGCGCAGGAAAAGGCACATACAGTGACAGGTCTAGCATATAAGCCTCGGAAACTTAAATCCACAACAGACCTTCCCAGGCTACAGCACTCACATATCACAGCCATGCATCACATAATAGACGTCCAGCTGATCTGTCCTATTCCAAACATTTGTCCCATTCCCATGGACGGCAGGCCACAAGGACCACCAAAGACACCACTCTGTCCCGATTGCAGAAATAACGTGACGACGTGTCGACGACACCCAGCCTGACTAACGTCTGTGGACCGGTGACCTTTCCGCCCCAGGAGCAGGACACCGCTAAACCTATGGTGACCTCCCAAATCCCAAATCCCTGGCGACACCTTATACACACACACGGTTCGGGGCGCCGGTGAAAGTTCCCAACGTGTGGCCGGGTGACACGTCAGGACCGCGCGGAGGGCCGCTGTGTACCGCGCTGTCGCCACACGTACGGCTTACGGATCTGTCGCGCGGTGTGCGATGTGTACCGTGCTGTCGCCACACATGCGACCAGCGACTGACCCAGACGGTGACAGCCGTGACCTCTCACGGCAGAGGCAGGCGATACGTCGCGAGGACCCCCTCACGGCAATAGAGCACGGCACGAGAACAGGGGACGCCCGACAGCTGTGGTACGGCACGATACGGCACGGTACGACTACGACATTACGGCACGGCATGACGAGAAAGGCACGGAGCAACAAACGACAGCATATACGTTTCGTGAATTTCCCGCGACATAAGCGCCTACACATTAAGAGTAAAGAAGAACTAGCTAGCTATTGTCCCTTCATTCCATCTCATACAGCATGACCTTCGTGTGTAACGCAAATGAGGATATATTGTTCGTAAATAAACGCGCCAATACTCATTACTCAGCGATAAATTACCATCAGCGTTTATAGGGCATTGCTACTTTTGTAGATGACTTTTTTATTTGCATTTTAGGCAAATAAAAATATCAGTTTTCTGTCTCGAAAAGGGCTACGTTTACAGGTGTATGTATGTTACAACATATATTTTGAATGCGCGCGACCGAGTCTAACGTTTAGTAAGTGCGTCCAATTGTGAGGAAATTTATAACTGGTATTAAAAAAGCGGTTCATGAAATTCAAATTATTCTGGGCATTTTAAGCCCAAAAAGGGGATCTTATTTTTCTTTTTTAAGATAATGTTTTCTGCCATGGGCCTCGTTACAGAATAAAGCTAAGCGTGCCGGCCATGGCGATCGGGTTCCATTAGGCCTATTTTAGTCAGCTGTGTCTGCTCCGATGCACAGTGGCGTCCGGTGTCCATCATTAAGGGGATAATACGGATAACATGGAAATTTTGTGACACGACTAGTACGGATTAGTGGGGTCACGAGGCACAGTCACGACAGTGTTTCGCATGTCTTCATAACAAAATGGCATAAAACGATAGACACCGGACCATTTTCAACCAGTTAAGTCCCTAAATCAATAGACAGCAACGGTGTCCGGAGCAATGCTAACAGAGCTAGCTCGCAGTTATAACGGATAAAACTGAACAAACAGTGTAATTGCTACGCAAATATAATGCATCGCTGGAGCTGTAAACACATGCTGCTAAACTGTGACCTCCTACTTATACAGCACCTGTATGTATAGGTACAGCAGTTATGCCATCTCTCAAATGAGTTTTCTGACTTCGGTTGCCTGCTTTTGCTGCCTGCAGCGTTTAAAATGTAAAGTAAAATTACAACTATGGAGTACTTCAATAAATTTACCATATGACGGCCTATGCACGACACCTGACCTTCATCGTTCGAAACCAGCCGATCTCTGTCAGCCTTTGACCTTCAACCGGCCTTGCTTCGTATCGGTGTCCCGCATTCATTTGAGTCTTGCATTCCACTACTACGAATTTCGACTCCCTCCCGCCTATCTAACATCTTCACACGCTGACCTTTGACCTCGCGTCACATGACCCACTTGGTAAGCTGACTACGGGTGATGACCCAACGTCACGTGGCCTACCTGGTAAACTGACCAGGTAATGACGCACTGTCACGTGACCCACCTGGGTGAGCGGCTGGGCCAGAGTGATGACGCCGGTGCGTGGCTCGATGCTGAAGTAGCTGGCGTCCGTCGGGTGGCTGGCGTTGAGAAAGTACTCGATGGCTCCGTTGGCGTCACTGTCCGCGTCCGTGGCCGAGATGCGCAGCACCACCGACTCCGGGTCCGTGTCCTTGGCTATAGTCTCCTGGTAGTTCTGCAGGGAGAGATGGGGTCCAGGTCAGGGCACCATGGCAACTTTAACATGTCACCACAGGTCAATAGGTAGTCAATAGAATGGCTGGAAGGGCCGAACGAGTAACTATGGGGTAAAACAAAAACAGGAACGGTAGGCGAGTCGGGGTAACGGTGGAGACCAGAAAGCGAAGACGGGTAAACGGTTACACGCGTTCTAAAAGTGACCGGTCACGGGAGGACAAGGGGGTCAGGAGGCCTCGCGACATGTCACCATAAGTCACGGCGACCTGTGTGCAGACAGGACACGAAAGGTTACGGCAGGCCACCTGTATAATGGCGGACCTTTGTCACCGGCCGGCTCTAAGTCTCGGTGAGGACCGGGCTGATGTCCGACAATGAATCGTCCCGCGTGCGACACGGATGGCCACTTTGCGCCGCCGACAGCAGGCCGGGCCGCCTCCCCGACGATAAATACCTGCCATCGGACGAGACGTCCGGCGGAGCCGATACCACGCCAGAAATCTCTTCTCAATGTCGATCCATTCGAACAGAAATGAAGACCGAGAAAAGATCACGCAGCTTCGCATATTCTGAGCTGAAGTTTTCCATCATTGATTTCGATGTGCTGATAAACAGGCCAGCAAGCAAGACAATGCGAGTAGCGAGAAGTACGTAAGTACTACATACATACTAATGACTTCATTTGACGAGAGTTCAGACAAAGTTAACACAATATGTAAGCCGTCTGCACCTCAAGAACTGCTCACCGTATGCCACTCACAATTGTGAAGCATCTGTGTAATGTCAAAATCGTGATCACATCCGTCAATTACAATCATTTGATGCTGTACCTACTTTATCTATTCTCTTATTGTCCTCGGTTCCTTCTTTTGATCCCGCAACACCCCTCCCCATGAGCTGTTTGATCGCCGGCGCCACCGTCAAATGAGCCACCGGCGCCCGTGGCGGTCCCAGCTGGCCGGCCCGAGGACCGGCTGCAGGGCGCCGCGGCGCACTCGATAATTCAGCAGAGCCACCGCAGCACGGCCGCGCTGCGCCGGTTGCCGTTTCATGGCCGTCACGTGACCGGCAGACCGAGCTCTTCCATCGGTCCCCGCCAACGCCACAGTCGCCAAACCAAAGAGACCGCGAGTAATCAGTCTGAGTGGGCCACGGCGACAACTTGACCAGTAGTGAGAATCCAATATCCATCTTTGTTTTGAGTCCGACTTGCCGCGAAATACTTTGTCTGAGGCTTCAGCCACTGACTTAGTATCAAACTGGTGGTGTTTTGTCATTACTCTTGGATGACAGTCAGGCAGGAGGCCAGGCAGACTGCAGCCCAACAGACTGGCCACTGGTCAGTCAGACGGACTGAAGTTCGACCCTGACAAACACACATACAGCAGCCCGACCTTACCAGACAGACATGTTCGACCTCACCTGGTAGGACCAATAGACTGCAGTCCTGGTCAGACATACAGACTGCAGTCCCACCCTGACCAGACAGACAGCCTGTGAAGTTCAGCCCTGAGTCTGACAGATATGCAGATTGCAGTTCAACCCTGGTCAGACGGTCAGACTGCAGTCCGACCTTGCTCATACAGACTGCAGTCAGACCTCACCAGGTCTGACTGACTGCCGTCCGACCCTGGCCAGACAGACAGCCTACAGTCATACCCTGGACAGACGAAAAGACTGCAGTTCGACCTTGCCTGGCCAGACAGACAGACTGCCGTCTAACCTTACCTGCAGACAAAACAGACTGCCGTTCGACCCTGATCAGACGGACAGACTGCAGTTCGACCCTGCCAGACAGACTACAGTCCGACCTTACTAGACGAAAAGACTGCAGTACGACCTTGCCTGCCAGACAGACAGACAGACAGACTGCCGTCTAACCTTACCAGACAAGACAGACTGCCGTCCGACCTGACCAGACAGACAGACTAGAGTTCGACCCTGCTCAGACAGACTGCAGTCCGACCCTGCTCAGACAGACTACGGCCAGACCTTGCTCAGACAGACCGGACAGCGTGTAAATCTCCGTGGCCGCGGCGCTGGCCACCGATCACTGTCCACAGGGCCCGGGGCTCAGGCGGACAGCACCGGCTCGGTAGCACCTGCTCGCCGCCAGCCGTCCGTCTACATTATACAGCCGGGAGCGTCCACCAGCTCAGAGCGAGCAGCGCGCGCCGACCGGTCACCAGATGGATGGCTGGGAACCGGCCGAGGAACCGGGCTAGAGGGTGACCATATCGAACCGCGCTGAGTAACCAGGCTAGAGTGTGACCACACGAACCGCGCTAAGTAACCAGGCTAGAGGGTGACCATACGAACCGCGCTGAGTAACCAGACTAGAGTGTGACCATACGAACCGCGCTGAGTAACCAGGATAGAGTGTAATACCAATACGAACCGGTACAGTAACCAGGCTAGAGTGTAATCGTGCGAACCGGGCGAGCAGCCAGGCTAGAGTGTATAACCAATACGAATCGGCCGAGTAACGAGGCTAGAGTGCAACCCTGCGACTCACAGCGCCGATTCTGGAAGCCGCAGTGAAAAATAAGACATTGTGCTCGAGCGGTCTAGTTAGATATTCTGTGAACGAATGGTGGAATAGAGAAAGAGATGTCTTGACATTTACTGGTAATGCCTTACAATGCAATACATAATGCATATTGCATATAGGTATCTCAGATTCAGCAGTGTACCGCATGACCTCAAAGTCCGCATAAGTCACCCGCTGTACCTGAAATCACTGCCTGCGTGACGAAGAGTAAGGTTGTCCAACTTAAAATGTCAAAGGGCAAGGGCAAATTAGCGTCGTTAAGTCGCATGTCTTGCTGGCACGCCGCTCTAGGCGACCTTCACCATGGGCTGGCATGTAGGCCAGTCAATAGTCTGTCACGGCTGTCGACTAACGAGACCTACGCCTGATATAGGCGGCTCAAAATGTAGCAACATATCCGAGTCTGAAATGGAACGCCAATGGGATATCGATTCAGATGAGATTAAACGGATCATGTATCGTTGATTACTTCATCCTATACGAATCCTATTTTTGTAGTCACGCCAGTGTAGGGAATGCACCGCAAACGTTGACGGTGAGCATGTCCCCGTAGTCAAGTGCCCATAGACCGCAGATGCTGGAGTTTTCACACTTTCGCCTCCATCGCCACTTCAGCGAGGAAGCATTTAGGAGGTGGCTGCTTTAACCGATCTTTTGGAAAAGCCAAGCGCGGCACCATTCTCGGGTCATGACTCAATATCACTTCCCGGTGATATTGACTGTAACCAGCGTTTCCTCTCGTTCTGCTTTAGCGATGGAAAATTGCTCCACATTTCCGTTTATCTTTCTGCATTCCAGGTATACCAATTCTGGCCGCGTTTGTGATAGGTATGTGACCCCATTGCCATCGTCACGACCATCCTGGCCCACAGGGTGTAACGAATTCACCGTGACACCCCGCCAGGAAGTAACTACGTCCCAGCGGAACCTTTAGCAGGAGGTCACGTACCCTAGCGAGCACGAGAGCGTACGCTTGCGACCCATTTGAGCACCTCATTTCACATACACGACATGCTGCATTCAATTTAATTCTCAAAAGCGAATCAGATGCATATGGGCGGTGACAACGTAAGGCCGCTGCGCCGAGCTGCGCGCAATGCGCATTGCTGGCGGCGTTGGAGATGCAAACGGCGGCTGATCGGCGTTCCTTCTGAATGATCTGCCGCCGCGGTCTCTGGGCAGATGACAACCTTTACACTGACCTTTCCACGTCACTTCCCTGGCTCTGTCCTCAGTCAGCTCCAAAGCTCTCGACTCCCATTCTATCCGATCGAGTCCCCAGTCTGCCCACTTCCTTATGTCGGCCGCATAGATGCACTGGAGCAGTCGGTCGAGCGGCACGGGAAAATGGCCATGCGGCTGTCAAGTAGCGCGCATAATGACAAATGTCCAGCCGGGAGAGACGGCGGGCAGACGGCCGGTCGTGTATATGCGCACTATGAGAAACGTCAGAGTCTGGTCGTCGGGCGGCGAATCGTCGTCCCTCGACCGGCCGGTAGGCCGGTACGGTTCGACTAAAACTGCGATACAGGATATTTGCTGTGAGCGCAAGCAGAAGATGATGGAGCGTTCTCAAGCTACATAGTGGTCCCTACATTATTGTTCCCATTACTTCGTGTATGGATGGTATTCGGCTATGAACTTTGAGCTGGCTGGTAAAATGAGGATAATGGGAGGTCTTCGGACCAGGGATGAGTCGTATTTTCAGAAGAATCCGGAGGTTTTGCAAGGCTGAGACCATATAGGTATGTCCGGTAATCGGAGTGGTGAGGAAACATTGCGCCCGACGTCATACATATGGTCAACTCCTTCTCGAGCGTTACTCGAGTCAATTTTCTATTCGGCTAATGACAGTGCAGGTAGCTAAGGCAGGTAAGGCGGTTCTGATGATACCTTACAATGTACATTATCAGTTTCCGGCGACTGTCTCGCGGACTGCAGCAGCTTAAGTTGTAGGTATAGGTTTGTATAGTGAAGCAGTTTCTATGACGACTGAGCCAGACGTAAGAAAACACACCATCAGGACTAGCACACGGTTCATCAAATGTGCCATCTGTCATTTGTCTCGCTGGAGATTAGGTCGCTGGGGAAGGGATCCACCCGTATCTCGGCGGCTTTCCAGGCCGTGCCGTTGATCCGACTAATGTCTGCGGTGGCCGGCCTGGTGGCAGCCTCCGGTCCGCGATGATACACTGTCGGGAGACGGTCGTGGTTCCACCGTCTCGCAGCGGTGGCCGTGAGAGCGGCCCAGGTGTGCGCGAGCCAGCGGCCGCAGCCGTCGTCGAGACCGCCACAGAGCGATCAATACTATCAAAACAGTTCACCTTTGGCGGCCGGCCGGCGCCGCCGCCGCCGATGGAAATGACACACACAAATCGATGCACTTCATTAAAGCTTTGGAAAGCAATGACCCAACAGGTCCAATCAGCAAACAATATGTGCGGATTGCGGCGCGGCCCGGTCCTAGCTGGTGATCTGGTGGTCCCTTCATCAGCTCTCGATCGATGCGAGCAACTGCACATTTTTGGTCGGGACTGAGTCCATGGCCATTCTGCTATAACCAACGACAGTGCTCCATCGTCCGAGACTCACCGATTTGTCGAACATGGGCCGACAATGCGCCAGCGTCCGAGACTCACCGATTTGTCGAACATGGGCCGACAGTGCGCCAGCGTCCGCGACTCACCGATTTGTCGAACATGGGAGCGTTGTCGTTGACATCGAGCACGTTGACGACGAAGGCGCAGGTTCCCTCCAGCGAGGGCACGCCCTTGTCGTTGGCCTTGACAATGACACGCAGCTCCTTTTCATGGTCCGGCTCGTCGCGGTTGAACACCTGAAACAGACGATTATTGCATGAAAATAAACATTCTATCCTATCCTAATTCTATCCTATTCTATCATTCTATCCTAAACATATGAACCAACTAGTTATATCGTGTCGTCATGCATAATCAACGATTCATGTGCAGATGAACAGATAAGTAAAGACCTACCAGTGCAATACCGCGGCTAAATAAAAGCTTTCACGAAAATAACAATCAGGCCGACTTTCGCCTACTGCCTGCAGCCCTTTTGCTTACTTCGCCACTCCAAACTCGCATGGTTCGTTACACTGCAGCTCCGGGTAGTTAGCTAAACTACGATCGGCACAGTTGGCAATGCCTCCATTTTCGGACAATGGATAACAGTCACCCCGATTCGCGCCGGGTCCCTGAATACGCAGTAGGTCATCTCTTTAATCGTCACATGTCTGTCAGGCCCGCGAGCTGCGCGGGCCCCGTTCGGCCGGCAATAGGAACCTCTTTATACAGCCGGTTCGACCAGGCACAATGCTATGGAAATTGCCGGGAACCGGGACTGCTCGCCGGAGATTGCTCGCCCATGTCGGGACCGATTCACAGTCGATCACAGTCGATTACAGCAGGCTACACGCCGAGCTGTGTGGCGATATACACCCTGCAGGACTTCAGGGATTGGCACTTGACAGCGTTCGTTGCACGGTTCGAGTCTTCACTGAAGCCAGGCTGTCTGAAGAGCTGGACCAGCGCATGGAGCGGTCTGCACACCGAAAGGTGAACGTTCTCGCCGGAGCCAGACAGTGCATCCACTCTGCTGGCTCGGTGAAGTTCTAACCAGTGCCAGATAAGCTGCACTTGACAACAAGCACTCAGCACTCAGCACTCCGCAGGATTCCGAGTTCCGACCACAGCTGCCAGCCGCTGTTGCTAGTAGACGAGTGGAGGATTGCCCGGAGAGCAGCGTGCGAGCGCATGGTGAGCCCGTTTATATCACAAGCCGGGAGGGCAGAAGCCAAGTTTACTCCATATAACCGGCCGTAATCAAAGAGTATGACTCGCAGACATGCATGCGTTAACGTCAGGAAGCCATTCGCCACCGCCTAATGAATGGTTAATGCGTGATTACGAGTCTGGCTGGTGTAGCCAGTAGAAACACTGTAATATACAGATATCTCTTGTATTTCGCCACAAAATCGAGACATATATAGTTTTACATACGAACTTACTTATCTAGTATTGCACACATGTTGGCGAGAACATCGAATGTAATAAACGAATACATATGGTTTTTAATATACACATAGCCAATGAAGTTGTCCAAACAATACAGCAGTTTAAGCGAACGGAACGTTAAAAGGGGGACGCACAACTTAATCGAAGGCTTTAGCAATTTAGAGACTGGTAAAAGCGACACCTGTTAACAAAACTGTAACTCGCGGTTCACAGCATCTAGCGGCGACCGGTGGAAGTAAACGCGCCTAGCGGTGACCGGCGGTACATGCAGGGGCTACATCACTCCCCCGCCCTAGTTAAACACCATAAAAAGAAGTTTGGCGGCGAGTACGCGACGAACGGCGGAGAGGGGGTGGCGAAGCAGGCGGCGGGTCCGGCGGCACGCGGCGAGCCGGGCGAGAGCCGCCGGGGGCACCTGAGCGGCTGGGTGCAGGCGATGCAGCAGGCGGGCGGTCCACCGAGCTGTCTGTCGCTGTAGTAGGCGTGTCGTTCACCAGGACGTCCGGTGCTGCAGGCGGCGTTGCGGCAGGCATGTTGTCCGTGAAGGCCGGTTTACACCGAGCCAGGGTGACGGTGTCGCGTCGCCCGAGACGGTCGATGGTGACGGTGTGCTGGTCGCGGGATAGGACACGATAAGGACCGTCATAGACGTATTGGAAAGGAGAGCGATGCGAATCGCGTCGGATGAAGACGTGGGAGCAGGTTTGCATGTCTTGAGAGATGAAGATTTGGCGGGAGCCAGGACGAGGAGGAGTTGGACGGAGCTCCGACATGGCGGCACGGAGACGAGAGGCTAGGGAAGCCGGATCAGAAGAAGTGTCCGACGACATGGGGGAGAGGAAGTCACCAGGAAGTCGGAGACTGCAACCATAGACTAGGTCTGCAGCGGTGCATCCGAGATCCTCCTTGAGGGTCGTGCGCACTCCGAGTAGCACCAGAGGAAGTCGTTCCGACCAGGAGACGGCGTCGTCATCGGTCCGCAGAGCTGACTTCAGTTGGCGGTGGAAGCGCTCTACCATCCCGTTTGCTTCTGGGTGGTAGGCGCAGGTCCGGATCCGAGAGGTGCCGAGAAGCTTGGAGACTTCTGTCCAGAGGCGGGACTCGAACTGGGATCCTCTGTCGGTGGTGATGAGTTCGGGTACTCCGAAGCGGGCGATCCAGCCGCTGACGAGATGCCGAGCCACCGTGACGGCGTCCATGGTGGGCAGAGGAATTGCCTCGGGCCATCGGGTGAAGCGGTCGACGACAGTCAGGAGATAGGAGTTGCCATGGGACGGAGGAAGTGGTCCGACAAGGTCGATGTGGATGTGCAGGAAGCGAGAGTCAGGTGGCTGGAAGCTGCCCATGGGTGGCTTCGTGTGGCGCTGGATCTTGGCACGCTGACAGTGCTGGCAGCTCCGGACGAAGGCACGGATGTCCGCATTGATGTGGGGCCAGATGAACCTCGATGAGATGAGATGACGCGTAGCGTTGATGCCAGGATGAGACAAGTCGTGGAAGCTCTTGATGATGGAAGGGCGGAGTCTGGCTGGGACTACAGGTCTAGGTGTGGCCGTTGAGGTGTCGCACCAGAGACGTAGATGCGGATGATCAGGGACTGGGAAGTCACGGATGATCAGAGATGAGGATTGTTGCAGCTTCGGCAGGTCAGGATCGTTGGCTTGGTGTAGGGCGATGTCGGCCAAGCTCAGAAGGCCGGGTGAAGGTGTAGCTGCGGCAGAAGCTGGCGCAGACACTGAGCTGATCCGTGAGATGGCGTCAGCTACCGGGTTGAGATGTCCAGGAACATGTCCGATCTTGCTGGTGTGCTGCAGAATCAGGTCCATGTGACGTTGTTCACGGAGAGAATGGTTGGCGTTGCCGTTGGCCTTGAGAGCAAAGACGAGCGGCTTGTGGTCCGTGAGGATCTCGAAGTCGCGTCCTTCCAGATAGGGCAGGAAATGTCGCACGGCGAGGTACATGGCGAGCAATTCCCGTCCAAAGGTGCTGTAGCGGCGTTGGGTGGGCGTGAACTTGCGCGAGAAGAAGGCGAGAGGCTGAAGAGAACCACCAACTCGCTGGTGGAGCACGGCGCCGGCTGCCGTGCTGCTGGCGTCAGTGCTGAGGCTCAGAGCTGCATCTTTGACGGGATGAGCGAGCTGGGTGACGTCAGCGAGGGCGGCTTTGGCTGCAGAGAAGGCGGCGTCTGCCTCTGGGGTCCACGTGACTGAAGCAGCTCGGTCGTCTGAGGCAGTCAGGCCGTGGAGAGGTGCCAGAAGAGCAGCAGCGTGTGGGATGAAGCGATGGTAGAAGTTGATCATCCCCAGGAACTTCTTGAGGCTCTTCTTTGACTCTGGACGGTCGAAGTTCTTGATCGCACTGACTCGATCGTCGAGAGGAGTGATGCCTCCGCTGGAGATCTGGTGGCCGAGGTAGGAGATGCTTTCCATGCCGAAGGCGCACTTCGATGGGTTGAGGAGCACACCGTTGCGGGAAAGACGGCTGAAGACCTCTCGGAGGTGTGTGAGATGTTCCGAGATGCTGCTGCTGGCGATGAGGATGTCGTCTACATAGACGAAGGCGAAGTCCAGGCCACGGAGGATGTGATCCATGAACCTTTGGAAGGTCTGAGCGCAGTTCCGGAGACCGTACGGCATACGGAGGAACTCGAAGGCGCCGAAGGGCGTTGTGATCGCTGTCTTGGCGATGTCTTCTGGGGCCATCGGTATCTGGTTGAAGGCCCTGACGAGGTCGAGCCGAGAGTAGATCGATGTCCCAGCGAGGCAGGCAGTGAAGTCGTGGAGATGTGGTAGTGGGTACCGGTCAGGCACTGTGATGCGGTTCAGTGCACGGTAATCACCACAGGGTCTCCAATCTCCAGACGACTTGGGCACCATGTGCAGCGGTGATGCATACCGACTGCTGCTGGGTCGGATGACTCCGAGACTGAGGAGGCGCTGGAACTCTGCCTTGGCAGTGGCGAGTCGAGCTGGATCCAGACGGCGTGGGCGGCAGAAGACCGGATGGCCGGTAGTCTCGATGTGATGTCGGACTGAGTGCTGTGGCTCCGGATGGTGTGACGGCTGGGTGAGGCTGGGGAATTCTCGAAGGAGGGTAAGGAATGCTGGGTTGTCGGTTCCGACGACGGCTGTCAGTCCGGTGGATGGCACTGAAGAGTGGGAAGCATGTGAAGACAACTCAGTTAGGTGGTCGATGAGACGGCCTCTCTTGGTGTCGACGAGGAGATCATACGAGGAGAGGAAGTCGGCTCCTAGGAGAGGATGGGAGACGTCCGCGATGATGAAGATCCAGTTGAAATCTCTTCAAATCACGCGAAATGGCACTCCCGGCAAACAGTGTCAGTTATGCTACTCCTGACCGAATAAGAGTAAGGCACTCGGTCTCCGGTAGGTAAGTCATAGATGAAGAGCAGGACAGTGGCCGCCTGAATGTTTCAACTATTTATTACCGTAACGAAATTAAAAAGAAAAATGTTGTATACAAACATCAAACGGAAGTTACACATACTCGCTCGTTATATGGCCGCTCTCGCGATAGTGCTAACTTTGAAACTGTAATACGCGCTTGCTTTCAGCAACAGTTGCCTGCATGGGTGCCTCCAGGCCACTCGCCAAAAAACATCGCTCATTGAAGTTCGACATTTCTTCTTGCTGAGCATTACGGCTGGTTGTAGAAAGCTTGCATTGTTGTGAGCTGTAAAGAAGGCTTCAAAGGGCCTTTTCCTGTGCGGCAACACAGCTACTTTTCTTGTGAGTTTGGTTGTCAAACAGGCATGAAGATGGCTGTAACAGTTAAATAGTAG